TCTGCAGAACCAACGAACATAGTTGGAGTCGTGGGTGCGGTGGTGGTGCTGTCCCTGATGGCTGTCCTCACCATCTCTGGGGTTGTCTTGTACTACAATCCTCTCTTGTGCCTCAGAGGTAGGAGCTCTCCTCTGTGCAAGCCACGGGGTAGAGAGGAATTTTCCCTAACCTACCTGCCCTTCCTGTTGTGTTGGAGTCAGCTACTGACTACCCCCAGCTCTTGGGCATCATCGTGCTCCTGGTAAGGAGCCCATCCTCCCTGGAGGAGCTGGGCTGGAACACAAGGCCCTTCCATGGCTGGATGCTTCAAGTAGCTTGCCCTGAGCTCCTGCAGGGAGCTGTGCAGAGCCATTCCTACTCTTCCCTTTCCTTCCGAGCTCCTATGCACAGCTGGTAGGATCTGCACAGCAAAACCAGCAGCTGCTCTGGGATTGGTTTCTAACACTCCCTTCTCTCCTCCCTTCTCTCCCATTTAGGTGCTGCATTCAGGTAAGTTGCTTTTCCTCAGTCTGGTTTGTTAGCCTACCATCCTGGCAGCCGTGATCTCCAGTAGAGCAGAACAGAGCTGTTCTTAGGTGAAAGTGGAAGGGTTCAGCATGGCTGGGTGAGGCTTGATGTGGGTGAGGGAGCAGGAGAATGAGGGGAACACTTGTCATTGCCTCTGGACATGCAGAGGTGTCCTGTTAGCATGGGGGAAGGCTGTGCAGGAGAGCTTCTCCATGGTGCAGGTGAGCCCTAAAACATGGTGTGTAGAGTGAAATGGTGATCTGCTTCTCTGCATGGGTGTCTGCACTGTGTCCTCTTCCTTTGGGGGGACTGTCTGAGAGCTGCATGTAAGCGAGTACTTCTGTGGGGATTCTGCTGCACTGGATTTCTTCTCTGCTTCCTGCTGTCACCACTCCTGGCCCTGCTCCCTCTCCTTGCCCTTGTTGGTTCTGTTCCCACAGCTGCGGTGCTGCGGCATGGGAAGACTCTATTCTGAGTGCCTCCAGTTCCCCATGCGTGCAGGAGGGGAGGATTACTCTGTTCAGGAGGGGTTCTTGCAGTGTAATACATGACTGTTGATGAGATGGTTGGAGGACTTTGGAAGACGAATGGGAAGCAGTGCAGAATGCTGTTGGTGCTGTTGCTGCCAGCAGGGTGTGAAACCAGCTTTTGTTCGCACGCGGTTCGTGCAGGGTTGGAAGAGTCTGTCCAAATGGGTGGTTGTGGTGTATGGAGTTGTCAAGGCCAGGGGAGATGCAGACTGGAGGAACAGGGTCAGGAGAAGCTGTTCTCAGCATCAGCCCACCTCCCCTCGCTCTGCTTTTGACAGGAGCCAGGACTCTGATGATGTCTTAGTGCTGGTGGACTCGGAAGATGATGATGATGATGATGAAAGGAACAAGGAAGAGAACACGGTGGGCAGCTCCATCAAGCAGGAGGTGATGGCGCTGGTCAATGGGAACAGCATCCAGGCTGCTTATCTCAACTGCCCGACAGAAGGTGAGCCCTGCTGCCTGCCTGCTGGCTGGGTTTGGGGGCTGGAGCAACAAAGGGGGGGAAGAACTGTTCTCTGGTTTGCTGACTCTTGCTGAGGTGCTGCTCTGTGCCCTGTGTAGGTGACAAGGGTGAGCTGCACAGCGTGGTCCCTCTTCAGAAGACAAATGGAGAAGATGCACAAGGCACATAACCTCCGTGCCTTGTTATGGAAATGCACAAAGCTCCAGCTGGAAGCCCAGCACCAAACGTCCTCGTTGCCTTGTGGCTGAGCACAGGCTGTTCGTGTCCTGCAGCCATCTGGTTCAGCCAGAGCACCCCTCTTCCTTCTCCACTCCCCCAGCTTTCACTCCACCCTTCCAGCCTTGTTTCTCCCTTTCTTCTCTCTTTTGCTGTTCCTCTTTGTCTCAGATACCCTTCTTAACAAGGTGGCACCCAGCGCAGGAGCAGAGTTCAGCAAATACGTGCCAGTGGCCTGCTCATCTCAGTGCATGTAGGCTTGGCTACGGTGTGGGGTTTCGGCTCCCAGCAATGCTAGAGCTGTGGGGAGCACATGGAGAACGTTGCCTTGAGGCCACCAAGTGGCTGTGCCAGGATGATGGAAGAAGCAATTGGAGGATGGGGGGGTTGGGGTGGGGATGCTGACTTTCCAAGGAGACTTCATTGTTTTTATTATAAATAATTGTTTTGGTTTTTTTTCCCAAGACCTGCACTGTTTTCTTGGGCCCACAGTGAGGGTGGTACTCAGAGGGGTGGGAGCATACAGGAGGAGATTGAGGGATGGATAAAGCCCTGCAGCAGTGAGCAGGGGGGTGTGAGCACACACACAAGGAATGGCAGGGATCTGAGTGCACCTGGGGGAACAGAGGGGAGCTGAAGATGAGGTGGGGAGGGGAAAACGTGGAGAACAGCTGCGTGTGTGCACTGTAGGAGGGAGCTGAGCCCCTCTTGGAGTGTGAAGAATGATCTGAGTCGGGAGCTGAGCAGCTGTGGGGATTGGAGCAGTGGTGCAGGGCAGCAGCTGGGGTCTGACTGTGATCCCTGCAGAGGTTTGGGAGGGCTGGAGTGGGGACTGTGGGGGAGGACAGAGCGTAGGTAGGAGCATGGAGGGGGGGATGTGTCCCAGGGAGCCGTACACCCACTGTCTCCTGCCCCATTGGGGCTCCTGGCTTTGACAAGCCACACTGCAGCCTGGGTTTCCCATCAGAGGCCTCCTTGTGCAGGGGGCTCAGTCCCTGATCCCCAGGCCATACGTGTGTGCTCCCAGCTTCACCGGATGACGCTCATAGCTGGGGGAAGGAAGCATGCACTGCGGGAGCCTCTGGCTGCCCCTGGCAACAGCATTGTGTGCCTCTGCCGTCTGCAATGGCCGCCCCACGTCCTGCTCCTCTGCTCCCTCCCCTTGCTGCACAGGATCCTGATGCTGTCCCTAAGACGTCCCTGGGTCTGGAGGAGCATCTGAGCAGGGTGTTCCAGGACAAGCTGCGGTTCCAGTGAGTGTCCCCATCCTCCCCCTGTAGGCTGCCATTGTGCCCACCAGCAAGGGGCTGTTTGTGCAGCTGATCTCAGGCTGGGTGGAAGGCTCTGAGGTGTCCCCAGCCCAGCAGGCAGGTGACATCCTATGGGGGACAGCCCAGGCAAGGGGCTGTGCTGCAGCCTCAGCTGGGGGTAAGGGGTAACCTGCACACCCTATGGCTGAGCCCAGACAGGCATTTGGGGGGGGTTCTGTTGGGCTTGGGGGTCCTGGCTGTGCTGCCAGCTGTGATGGTCTGTGTGCGTCCCCAGGAAAGTGCCAACATGGGACTCAGCATCTCTGCTGCCCTCCAGGCGCCTGCTGCTGAAAAGGAGGGAGGTGGTGGAGGTGGAAAGAGCCCTGCAGGCCCAGCGAGAGGTACAGCCCCATACAGCCCCCAGCCCACCGCGTGCCCCCCATGCGTGGTTGTTTCTCCTCCATAGTGGGACTGAAACCACAGCTGTCCTTTGGGTGCACAGTGGTTTTTCCCCCTCCTCTGAGCTGGGGGGGAGAGGAACCTTGTGAAAATCAACAAGGGCAAGTGTAGAATCGGGGGAGAAATAAGCTGGGGATGATTCAGAGCCCAGAGAAGTGGTGGAGTTTCCTGCTCTGGAGGTGCTCAATCCCACCTGGACAGCATTCCTGTGCAACCTACTGTAGGGAATAGTAGAGAGGGTGGGATGGGGGAGCTCCAGAGGTCCCCCCCACCCCTGTGATTGTGTCCCTGCCCCTGGGGTGTGGGCTGTGCTCCGGCCACCCTGTGGCCCCTCAGGACTTCCAGCAGCAGATGGACCGCCTGGCACAGCGCTGGCAGCAGCTGGGCCAGAGGGAAGAGCAGCTCCGTGATGACACCATCAAATTCAACGCCTTCCTTAAGGTGTGAGTGGGTTCGGGGCTGGGCTCATGGCCACGTCCTTCTGCCATCCCCACCAATGGCATCTTGATGCCCCAGGCCATGTCAGCAAGGCGGCAGCGGGCGCAGCAGCGGGCAGGTGAGGAGAGGGCACGGGCGGCACAGCACAGAGCTGAGGCCTTGAGGCTGCAGCAGGAGCTGGAGAGGCTGCAGGGGCACAGGGAACAACTGGGACAGCGCCTGCGGAGCCTCCGTGTCTTCGGTGACTTCCTGCAGGATGTGCGAGTGGCCACAGGGCGGGTGAGGGTTCCTGTCCCCAAGGAAGGGCCTGGAAGCGTCCTGTTCATCCCCTCAACGCTGTGCTCCAGTTTCAGGACGTGCCATCCATGCTGGCCCATTTCGGGGCACTGATGGAGGCACAGGTGGTGCTGCTGCAGCAGGTGGAGGCCGGGCGGGTGGCACTGGCCCAGGGCCAGGCTCAGCTCCAGCAGTGCTGTGAGGAGGCTGATGGCGAGCTCACCAGTGGCAACGAGGAGGTGCTCCAGCTCCGTGCCCGTCTGGAAGCCGCCCGCCGTGATGTGCTGAAGGGGGTAAAGGTTGCAGGACCCCCAGGGCGAGGGGCTGTGGGATGGGACCACCTGCAGCCCTGAGCTATTTCCCTGGCCCCAGGAGTCCCACTGGGCCCAGCTGGAAGGTGCTGCAGCCCAGAAGACGCTGCTGCTGGGGCAGATCCAGATGGCGGTGCTGAGCCTCTTCCAGCTCGCCACCACGAGGCTAAAGGTCCCCAAGGATGTGGCCCTGGGGGACACAGAGGCACAACTGGATGTGGTGAGTGTGGCCCAGCAGCCACGGGGCTGGAAGGGATGTGGATGTCCCTGTGACACAGAGGCCCCCGTGTCCCCAGCTGCTGCTCTGCATGCAGGACCTGGCTGCCATCTGTGCCGAGCTGGGGCTGCATCCTCATGTGCCTGCCACCACTGCCACACACTCACAGCATCACAGGGCTGTCGCTGTGCCTCCCAGCCACAAATAGATGGACTTAGGACACAATGAAGCATGGAAGTCACTCCTCAGCCAGTCCAGGGCAGATGAAGAGAAACGCCCCAGGACAGAGCCTGGGCCACCAGCACCCTCCTGCAAGGCACCTGAACAGACAGAAGTAGAGCAGCTGCTCATCTTCAGGCCATCGATACTGATAAAGCCTTTTCCCATCAAAATATAACACAGCTGCAGTCCCCGAGTGCTGCGTTCTTTTAGAACTGAACCTGAGCGAGGAATTACCCCAGGTATAGGACACAAGAGAGGAGGCAGGCTCCAAAACCAGCTGGGTATCTATTTGATGCGTCCTTTGCTAGGCCATCTCCTACATCTTTTTTCGGAGCTTTCCCTTCTTGGTGGCCCCAACACGGCGGCCGAACGCCATCTGTCGCAGCTCCTGCACCCGCTGCCGGTTCCGTGCCTTCAGGCGCTTCAGGCCCCCGCGCTGCAGGAAGCGCTGCTTGGCCGCTGCCTTGCGCTGCTTCAGGATCTGCTGCTTGTTCTTCAGCTCCGAGCGCACCTTGCCCTGGGTGGGGGGCCGCTGGGGGGCTGTGGGACAGACACGGCCACGGGTGGATGTAAAACCAAGCTTGGAGGCCTCAGAGATGCAGGGGGGGTAGATGGGGATTGGTGCTCCTTCAGTTACTCACCGTGCCCACGTTTGTGCTTCCCTCTGTATTGCTCCCGGCCTCCCTGGTTGTCTTCGTCCTCGTCTCGCTCATCAACCTTGTTTTTCTGCTTCCATTTCTCATAGCTGCGGCAGGTTAAGGGCAGGCACAGCGCTTCCCAGCTCTCACCCTCCCCCACCTCCCTCTAGCACCAGGCAGAGCCCCCTCTCCCGTCTCCCCGGCTGCAAGGCCACTCAGCCCCACACCCAGCTCCCCCAGCACAGCGTGGGCAGGATACAGGTTGTTCTTGTAGGAGCTGCTGATGTAGCGCCCGCTCTCTGTCCGCACTTTCTTCTTCTCCTCCTGGCCCGTCTGCCCCACAAAACGCTTCTTCTTGCGGTCCCTGGGAAAGAGGGAGACTCCTGAACAACAAGCCACCTCCACCCACCTCACTGGGCATCCCAATTCTACCTGACACTGCCCAATATACAGCAAGAGTCACTGGCTTTGAGGGGAGGGAAACATTCCCTTGGGCTCTGCTCCCTGCCCAGCTCTTTCCTGCCACAATCAGACCTCACTCACCACTTCAGCAGCTGCTTGCTCCTGTTCAGGTTGTGGCCTTCATCACCCATGAGATCCAGCACAGCCCCAGCTGCCTGCTGCTCGAAGGCACTGCCCTCACCGCCCACACTCAGCCTGCACAGAGGGGAGCAATGAGAACAGCCCAGGCTGCTGCAGGAGGGTGGGGGAGTGCTCCCAACTCACCCCCGCTCGCTCTCAAAGTCCTTGGGTCGATATGGGATGTAGAAATCCTCATCCCGCTGTGCTGGTGGCTGTGGCTTTTTCCTGGCACCATCTTCTGCAGCCCGGCTCCGTTTGCGCTTCCGTCCCACCACGGTGGAGAACACCTCCTGCAAGGGGGCAAACGAGGGGCTGAGGCTCCATGTCCCAACCCCGGGGCCAGCTTCTCCTAGAGGTTCACATGCCCATTCCAAGGCCAAGGCACAGCCCTGTCCCAGCCCCGTTACCTGGAGGTTTTCCTCCTCTCCTTCCTCCTCCTCAGGCTTGGGGGTGGCTGGATGCAGCCCCTGCCCCTTGAGAGCTGCTACCCGCTTCTCCTCCTGCCCACGCTGGAACTTCTCGATGAGGGCACGGTCGTGTCGCCGCTTGGAGCGCATGATGCTGCTGGCCAACGTGTGGGCTGTGGCGTTGATCTCAAAGATGGTCTGTGCACAGAGACAGAGCAAGCCCAGGAGTGAATGATTTAATGCACGGTGAGGATGGGTCGATGGCTGGACTTGATGATCTTTAGATCATTTTTTTCCAACCTCTGTGATTATGGAACTTCCCTCTTTTCCCATCCCTCCCATCCCTCTGCCTTCCATCCAAAGGCCAGGCCCCAGCTCACCGCCTTGGACTTGTAGGCTTTAATGCTGTCCACCAACTTCAGCCTCTCCAGTTCAGTATCTTCAAAGTGAGCACCTGGGGAGCACAGAGGGATCAGCTCATCCACAGGGGAGAAGCATCCCCTCCCACAGTGCCCTGAAGCACTCACTGAAGAGGGGGTGGATGCCCAACTGAGACATGTCCATCTCCTTCACCCTCTTGATGGACTCGGGCGAGGGGCCGGGCCGGGAGCGCAGGTACTGCTTCTGGGCATTGTCAGCCACGCGGCGCAGGCTCTGCAGCTCCAGTGAGCCCTCGTGGTCTGTCAGCAGCAGGCACTCCTCATCATCCACCAAGCTCTGCGGGACGCGACCCAGGACCCCATCTGCATCTGCAGCACCAGGGACATGGCCTCAGCAACCCACCCTGGGAGCAAGAGGGCATCACCCCCCTAAGACCCTTCTGCACAAAAGCTCACAATATTCACGGATAAACCCAAAAGGATGTGCAGCCACCTCCACGTTTGGGTCCTCCTCACCTGCAGGCATCTCCTGGGCACCGGCAAGGATAAGCGGGCGTCCCAGGAAGAGGTGGAGGTCAAAGATGTAGGGCATCTCATCAGGAGCCACCAGCGAGTAGGCAGTGCCACTGCGGCCAGCACGGGCCACACGACCTGGCAGGGTGAGGAGGAGGGGGGTGGGAAACCAGAGCCAGCACCAGCCCCCGACCTGGGACAGGCACCCACTGGCACTCTAGGACCCCAAGGGTCAGCCCACTCACACCTTCCCTGTCACCACCACCCTGAGGAACCCCTGGGTAGCACCTACCAACACGGTGCAGGAAAAGCTTGGACTTGGCAGGGAAGCTGTAGTTGATGACATTGTCCAGCATGGGGATGTCGAGCCCACGGGCAGCCACGTCTGTCACCAGCAGCACCTGGCATTTGCCATGGGCAAATTTGGCAATGTTGATTTTGCGGGCAGTCTGGTCCAGTGAGCTGTAGATGTGGGTACAGCAGATGCCCTGGGACGTGAGTAGCTGCAGACAGGGGAAGAGAGCACAGAACCCACATGGAAATGCACCTCCAGCCCAGGGAACTCAGTACCCCAAGGTACTGAGTCCCTAAAGTGCCCATCCAGAACCCAAACACTGACCTCCTTGAGATACTCCGTGTGGTGCTTCGTGGCCACAAAGACGACTGTCTGATCCTGGGGCTTCACCACGCTGCGGAGCAGGTGGAGCAGCACCGCTGGTTTGTCATCTCCACGGACGTGGAAGAAAGCCAGCTGCAAAGAGAGGGCAGGGCTCAGCCCTTCTGGGCCCCCAGGCTTTTGGGAACACCTCGCAGTGCCCACTCATTTCTGGGCTGGTCACCCCTCATGAGTCTCCAGCCAACATGGGGTAACTTGTAGGCATGGGAGCACCTGGTGCTGGAGGGAGAGGCACAAAGCTCACCTTGAGCTGCTCACTGAGCTTTGACTCCACATCCAGACGTATCAGCATTGGCTCAGTGAGACCTGTGGGACATGGTGGATGTGGGACACAGAGCTGAGACCAGCTCTAGCTCCCAGCCTGGGAATATCCACTTGACCCAACCCCAACCCAGCTGTGTTTCTCTGGTCCAGTGACCAGTACAGCTGCAGGACAGGGAGAAGTCCCCCTAACAGATCATTTCCACCAGTATAGGACCACCAAGCTTTGGAGCCAGTCCCAACCCAGCCCATCTACCCAATTCTCACCAGCACGGGCAAACTCAACGAGCAGCTTGGGCAGTGTGGCTGAGAAGAGGACGGTCTGGTGGCTACCCGGTAGCCGAGCAAGGATCTCTTGGAGCTGTTCTGCAAAGCCCATCTCAAAGAGCCTGCAGGGAAAGCACATGGGACATGGGATGTGGCAGCCAAGGTCCCCCTGCTCCCATCATCACCTCCAAGCACACTGACCTGTCAGCCTCGTCAAACACCACGTACTCCACGCTCTGCAGCTTCAGGTTCATCTCCACTGCCACATGCACCAGGCGCCCGGGAGTGGCAATGATTCTGTGAGGGCCAGAGATGATGATGTTGAGCTGCTTGCAGTCTCCCCACACCATCCCAAATCTGACCTTGGCGGCCACGTCCCCACCAAGTCCTCTCCCTGCACCCACACTCACATGTCGGGGTTCTCGTGCAGCGCAGCAAACTGATCCTCCATCCTGTGAGAGTGGGGAGAGCCCAAGAGCAGGGGACAGCTCAGCCCACCGCCTCCCAGGGCTGGGCAGATCTGGGGCTGTTTTAAGGATGCGGGGGCTGGCAGGGACTCAGCGAGATCAGGAATACCACTCACTTGTCTCCTCCCAGCACAAGAGCGGTCTTCAATCCTGTGAACTTGCCCAGCTTCAGGGCAAGAAGGGAAACAGTGAGGTTAAAGCACACCGGGATTCCAGCCCCAAGTGGTGCCCACTTGTCCCTGTACCTCCTTGGTGAACTTGAGGGTCTGCAGGGCCAGTTCACGAGTGGGTGAGAGGATGAGGGCGCGTGCTCCAGAGGGGCTGGGTGCCTTCAGCCGCTCAAACATGGGCAGGAGGAAGCAGGCCGTCTTCCCACTGCCTGTCCGTGCCATCGCCACCACGTCACGGCCACGCAGGATCACAGGGATGGTCTGTGAGACACAGCCCTGCTGTCAGTGCCCCATGGGGGGACACAGCATAGCCCCTGCACCCCAAGGCCTCACCTTCCTCTGGATGGGCGTGGGCACTTTGTATCCCTTCTTCATCACACCCTTGAAGACAGGGTAGCTCAGGCCTGCAGGGACATGGAAACAGTGAGGGGACATATGGATGGTGAGGGGCTCTGCAGGTGGGGTGACCTCCACCCTACACATACCCATGGACTGGAAGCCTCCGGATTTCTTCTTCTTGTTCTGAGCCCGCACCATTGCCTGCGTGTCCTCGGCGGTGTCATCATCCCTGTCCTCAGCAGTGGGAAAGGCAGGCAGCGGGGGCACGGGAAGCTGGGGATGGGGGAGGGTTGTGTCACGATGTGGGCACGCAGTGAGCGAGGTTTGTGTCACGGTGACAGCAGGGCTGCCGTGACAGCGGGCTGGGACACCAGCATCACACAGGGATATTTGGGACACGCACACGTGGGGACTGGGGACACCGGTACACGGAGACATCAGCACGTGGGAACGCGGCGCTGGGAAGATGGGCAAACGGGGAGTGGGCACACCGGTCCCGTGCCGCGGGCACAGAGGGGCCGGGCACACACGGGAAGGGGCCCACGGGTTGGGGTCGCGTCTTCCACCCCCTCCCCGCGCCTCCCTACCGTTGCTGCCCGGCGCTGTTCCCCAGCTCCATTCGGTCCGCGCCGCTTGCGGGCACTCGGCGGCGCCATGGCGGTGGAGCGGAAACCGGAAGTAGCCCCGCGCCGGAGACCGGAAGGGGCGGAGACTTCCGGGGCCGAGAGCGCGGGATTGTGCGTGCGGCGCTGCCCACGTGCCCGCCTTGCTGCCCTGCGCCCCTCCTCCGAACGCCTCCCTGCCACAAATAACGATCGCTGCCGAGCGGACGCTGCTTTTATTAGGAGCTCAAGTAACGATTTTCAAAAGGCAGAGCTGTGAAGAAGGCGTTCCGTTGCTGAGGCAACGCTTTCGCTACGTACATTTGAAAATGTGAACCTGGGCGCGAAGCATTTAATGGCTGAGGCGAGCAAGGGGAAAAGCTCAATCGCAAAAGAAACAACACGACCTGACATATGCGGTAGAAGTTGACTTCTCCAGGCAATTAGTTCAGGGCTTCCCACCAAAAAGGTGCTGCAGCGGAGAAAATATCCTAGGGAAATAAATACATTGTTATACACAGTTATACACAGATACGCACACGGAATTATACACAAAATACTTGTTAGAACTGTAAGAATGAGGCTGCCTCTGCCTGCCAGCACAGCGTGCCTCAGAGGAAGACGGAAACGTGGAGAGGAAACACAAAGAATAGCTCCAGCATGGTGCTCTAGTGGTTAATGGCGCTGGCGTACGTTAGGATTGATAAGGGTTTTAAGGATCCCTTCATGGGACTGAAGAAGGACTGGAAAGCTCTGCCGGGAGAGATATTGAAGTCTTGCAGCAGTCCGGCTGTAGGTGGCACTCTTTATCTGATAGAAGGGCGGTGATTGAGGTCAGGAACTGCTGGGATTGTTTTCCCTTAAGCAGCTACAAGACACATTTACTGCGAATTTCTGTGCCCCTTTCCACGAGCACAGAGCACGAGGGAATGTTTCTTTACCTTGGAAGGCCTTGGTTTAACCACCACGGAAAAGATGTGTCTGCTCTTCAAGATAACACAGAATCGCCTGAACTGCCAGAATCAGTCTCAGACACAGAAAGGACAGCAGCACAGGAGGCTCACGTGAGGGAATTAACTCACGTGGTGTTTACACCATACAGTCACACATGAAGCTTCCTGTTGACCCAAACCAGTTCATTTAATCTTTGCTAGAGTATCTTCTCTCTGCTCTACCCACCAGAAGATCATGGAATCACAGGATGGCCTGGGTACAAAAGGACCACAGTGCTCATCAGTTCCAACCCCCTGCTGTGTGCAGGGTGACCAACCAGCAGCCCAGGCTGCCCAGAGCCACATCCAGCCTGGCCTTGGATGCCTGCAGGGATGGGGCATCCACAGCCTCCTTGGGCAACCTGTGCCAGTGCCTCACCACCCTCAGAGTGAAAAACACACAGATGCAGTTCTTTAAAACTCAGGAAGGAAGTGAACAGGTGGTCCTGGTGGAAAACAAACACTGCGCTACGAGGCAGCTTTAAGTAGGAACTGCTCACAGCTGCAACACAGGTACCTCCTCCAGAACTTTGAGAGAACTCCTCGTTTTGGCTCCTCAATTCCTTTGGTGGTGATTTGGTCCGTTTGCTGCAATACCTGCATTTCACCTTCAGGCTGACTGATTTCTGCTCTTTGTTCCACATCATATCCCACAGGTCTCCCTGTAAGAAACAGCAGCAAGAACAGAAGCACAAACTCACTCCCTTCGTACTCCCCCGAATGCCCCATGTAAGAAGTAACACAGGAATGCCTTGCTTACATAAGCACTCTTGGTTACAGCCCACGCTGAGGGATGCTGGACGATGCTCACACTGAATTTCTTTGGAATAACTCTGAAAGAAAACACAACCCAGAAACTTTGTTACACAATGTGAAATTATATCTCACAGGAGAGTTCTGTTGACTTGCTTGCTTGAAGAAGTGAACAGAGCTCTAAAGTAAAGCTGTAGTTCAGTGACTTTAATAGCTGGGATGGCATAGGCAAAGATTTTAAACAGCACACACAGAGATGCTGTGGGAAGTAGCCACTGACAGCACAGCCCTCTGGACGTTGGTCCTGCTAAGCCACAGTAGCAGTAAATAACACTGAAGGACAGAAGTGAGAAGCATCAGGAGCAGGGCTGAGCCAGGATATCAGAAATACAAAGGACCACAAACAATAAAATCTGCATGCATGCTTATTTGACAGGGTAAAATCACTTTGTCTCAGACAGAAGATAATACAAGCACAGATTTACTCCCCAGGTGTGCATCTCTTGCACTGAGCTCAGATGTGTGAAAATTTCCAAAGTTTAGGCCTGAGATCTCTGCAGTTTATTCTCAGAGGATTCAGTAAGGGAGGGAAGTTATCTTCAGAAACAGACTGATCAGCTGTCAGTTCTCTTTCTCTCTTTCTTCAGTTTCTGCCAGTGTCCTTGTTAAGCAGGAAGATGTGTGGGCTGGAGTCCAGCCATTCTGATCAGACAGCTGGCTCTCAGAATGATGCCTGAAGGCTGGAAAAGAAAGAATCTTCCCTTCCTGCCAAGGCATTTTGAGAAGAGAGGGTTTAGGAAGCACCTCTGATCCCTCTGGAACAATCCCCTCATTAACATGACTACTGATGAAGTAGTCAGAAAACTCATCATGCTTTTTAAGGGAGAGGGGTAGATGCCTGCAAGGCCATCTGCTTGAGCTGCAAGTATTGGCAGCAAAGTCAGTATGAAGGCCAGCAGCTGCTGCAGGCCCTCTGTGGGGTCTGATAGGAAGAGGCATCTGGAGGCTCGAGGTCAAGGTAGGCAATTCTTCAGGTTCATCTCTGACAGGTTAAGCTTACCCTTAGATCTTAGCTGAAGAACCAGAACAGTTTGTGTGTTATCTCTGTAAAACTCACCATCTGACTGATTCTGATGAGCAGCAATCAGAAGTCACTATTGCAGATGGAAATGAAAAGGGAACAGACAAACCTGAAGGCATTTTGTGCTTGCCTTCTTGAGACTCGAGGACTAAGTCAATACTGTTGTGTCTTTCTGAATATTCTGTAGCTTACCTTTTCAAACCCATGCTCTGCTTTAATTGCATGGTGAACACTCTCAGTTCCAGGTCTAAAAATAAGTGAAATAAACAAGAACTGAGCTTACAGAAAAATTACAAAAAGGAAGCAATCAAGCAGTGATACATATGGCCACTATGAGCATTTCATTTGTAAGTCAAGCTTTCAGTACCTCTAGGCAACAAAATATGGACCCTAAATAGACATTTGTACTCAAGTCTCTAATTCCCATTGAAAACAGAAAGAAAATACGGACACATTTCCAAAAAGGAATCCAAAATTAGGAAAAGTGTCATCAATGAAAGAGATGGAAGAAAACAGGCAGAAGGACTACACAGTCATGATGAACACTGCAGATCAGTGGCACATGAAAGATATTCAGATATGGCCTAGAAGAATATTTGGTAGTGGACTGACCTGTCCATGCACAGCTTTGGGTATGAGGTCTCTGTTTGACCTTCAACTCTTCTCCTCTTCACTGTTTCTTCCATTTCAGTGCTTCCTGGTATTTCACTTTTTCTCTTGACCTTCAGAACATTGCAAACTTTGCATTGGTAACATTTGATTATGACTTTTCTATTTTATAACAAAACTCAGAATCAATATGTCCTTATATTTAGCACAGTTGTTCACATTTATATTTAGCACAGTAGTTCATATTTATAGAATGAAAACAAACAAGATTTGTGAATATAATACTAGCTTCTTTATTCAAAGACATGAACCAGAGAGAAGCCATCCAGAGAACTGCACCATTAGGGCCAATTTACATTTGCTGACTGACAACTGCAAGTTATAAAACTTCACTATTTCCTATCTTGCAATATTTTTTGCACCAGTCTGCAATATCTCTGTGCACTCTGCTGCTTCAGACTGTTTGGACTGTCACTCAGAACACACACACACAACTTACAGGCTCAGAAGTGTTGCTGTTGGCTTCTTTACCTGTAACAGAAGTATTACAAAATTTGGCGACTATTTACACTGGAGTTTCTTCAACCAACTTAGTTTGTTTCTGCTTTATGCCTTATTTTCTGAGAACAGGACAGACTGCTGAACTTGCATACAGTGCTCTGACATTGAAAAACTACTGAAAAACACTTCTTTGTTCTGGAAATTACCCAACCATAACCATGCAGACTTACCCAAAGACAAACTCTGCTGAAATGAGTTGAGCTCTAGATACATGGTGCAGATGTAGGGATAGGGCACCAGACTGACATCCTCGTGTTTGAATCTCATTTCTGATACCCTTTCCCATTTACTCAAATCTGAGAACGACGTTAAGACTTAGGAACAGAGCACTGCGTTTGAAAACCACTGTTGTTTTCTCAAGTTGCTGAGTCTACAAGGAGCATTTCTCATTTCATTAATCTTTTAAAGCAGTGCACAAGCCATGCTTGCCATTGTGTTTGGTGGGCTTACTATGACTTAGCATATGTGCTTTCATTTTTGGAAATAGATGGTATTTAAGGTCCCTTCTGACCTAAGCCTTCTGTGATTTTCTGTCTAAATCTGACTTGGAACTCAGAGTTACTGATCTAAAAACACTGCAAAACACTCCTTTCAAATCAATTCTTTGCTGAAGGCACCAGCTGAGGTGGGTCCTCAGGTAATGTAAAATTGTGAAGCTCAAAGTAGAGCTGCAAGGTACTGAATATGAATCCTGAATGAATGAAGCAACGCCCAACATACACAACTCATGGAATCTTTTCTTTTATGAACAGGAAAGGATACATGGAAAGACAGTGAAGTGGTCTGTAGAAAATGGACGTAAATCATCAAGATTTCCAAGGATGACTCGAATTGCTTCCTGGAGAGACCAAAAAAAGAGAAGTGAGGGAATAATATTAACAATATATCCACAACTCTACTGGAGTTCAGCATTCAGGCTTTGGAAAAAACTTCACTTTACAGTTTGCATGAATTGTTGGAAAGGATATTCTAGATAGATACAAACAGCTTTGCTTATCCTTCTCCACACTCCCTTCACCTGATCTGCACTATAGAAAGACACTGACAGGAATTGCTGCATATCCTACCTCAAACTCCTTGACAGCAACATCAGTGTTGTTGAGTTCAGGAGTGCTGTGAAAACAGATACAGAGAATTAGTCCCACCTGGGGAAGGGAAGGATCAAATCCTTTGACAGAGTTTAAATGACAACAAAACATGGTAAGCAGGGAACATTCTCACTGCAGAGAGGAAATTCTTAGCAAGGGGATAAAACCTTGAAATGTTGTTCTTAAAAATATCCAGGATTCTTTTGAGACCTGCTGTAGGGAACCTGCTTTGGCAGGGGGGTTGGACTCGATGATCTCTGGAGGTCCCTTCCAACCCCTACAATTCTGTGATTCTGCGATACAAGAGATAAGAGGTCAGAAATGCTCCAAATTGAAAGCAAGAAATGGCTGTAAATGGGTTTTGCTTTTGAAGCCAAGAGGAAGATCACAGCACAATGCTTTTGAGGGCATTGCCCTTGGACTGCTGCTTGCTGACGCTCACAGCCTTGAAAGGCAAATTCCTGAAGGGAGTCTAAAACCACTCAGTTTTGGGGGGGGGGGGGAAGCAGTAATATCTCTTTTTGCCAGAACACCCCCAACTTCTGTGACTATTACAGCCCACAGCCTCCAGGATTCTGAGTCCTCTCTCAAATTAAGAGCTCCAAAACTTCTTGAGTGAGTCGGTCTGGGTTCTGCTCCATCACAGCGGGACCCGTTGGTCTGATAAGCAGATCCAAGCAGATCCAAGCAGATCCAAGCAGATCCAAGCAGATCCCCCCAAGGCAGTGCGCCCAGGAAAGCCACGTTTTCACCTTGTAACGACCACCTTCCCCATTCCAGCAGGCTGACCAGCGCCCTGTAATTCATGTCACTTCAATTCCAGGCTCACACGCTGCCGTGACGGCACACAGCTCTCCAAATCCTCATCCTCCGCGCATCCGAAGGCTGTTTTCCTTTCTGTTCCCCGCCTGCCAGCAGCACGGGCAAACCAAAGCGCCGTCCCTTCCCTCTCGTTTCTCAGGCCTGTCACCTCTACAAACCCGGGCTGGTTCATCAAAGCTCCTCCCTGGAGCTCCCTCACCTCTGCAAGTTGCCACAGCGGATTTTAAACTTATACACAACTCCGCCCGCGTGCAGGAACCTGGTTTCAGGCAGCGGGTACAAGAATGGTTTCAACGGCATCTTTTTTGTCGCCGCCAAAGGAAGAAGGCCGGCTCTGGCTCCTCCCCGGGCCCCTCTTACAGCACGCAGCCCAGCGCTGCGCCTGACGCCCCACAGATGGCGGCGGGGTCGGCGCCGTGTGCAGGCCGCAGCCGTGGGGGGGCGCAGGGCAGCAGCTCCCGCTCCTGTGTGTTCAGTTTTGGGCCCCTCACTACAAGAAAGACATTGAGGCCCTGGAACGTGTCCAGAGAAGGGCAACGAAACTGGTGAGGGGTCTGGAGCACAAGTCTTATGAGGAGCGGCTGAGGGAGCTGGGATTGTTCAGTGTGGAGAAGAGGAGCTCAGGGCAGACCTCACTGCACTGTACAACTTCCTGAAGGGAGGCTGTGATGAAAAAGGGTCTGGCCTCTTCTCCCAGGCAAATAGTAGGACCCGAGGAAACGGCCAGAAGTTGTACCAGAGGAGGTTTAGGTTGGATGTTAGGAGAAACTTTTTCTCTCAGAGGATGGTCAGGCACTGCAATGGCTGCACAGGGAGGTGGTGGAGTCGCTGTCCCTGGCAGTGTTCAGGAGGCGCCTGGATGAGGAGCTGCGAGATGTGGTTTAGTGCTTGTGGTACTGATAGGAATGGGAGGGGGGTTGGACTGGATGATCTTGCAGGTCGTTTCCAACCTTGTGATTCTATGATTCTATGATTCTCCTCCTGCCTCCCACAGGACGCTGCTGGGTCAGGACACGTCCTGAGCTGCGCAGGTGGCATCAATCCCTGCACCAACCCCGTCTTGCCGTCATTAGGGCCATTGGAGGGGAAAACAACCCCCGGAGCCTTCCTGGCAACCTTCCACATCCATACAGGCACAACTGGAAAGCTGCAGTGCTCAATAACAAAGCGATGGTCAACGGCAATGCTTAAACGAACAGATGCAAAGGAACCCATTCAGGATCAATATGCACAGATCCATGCTTTTGTATCACTGAACATGTCATAATAATTACGGTGCCCTTGCTGCAACTCTGTGCCTCTACAGAGCTCTGAAACCGTGAGAATCCACTCCCTCCCTGCACATCAGCATCCTGGTCCTCACAGCAGCACTGTGACAACACACAGTCCCCTCCCGTGCCACTCCATCTGCCCACTGCCCCCATCCCTGATTCTGGGAGAAATCTGGGATCAAAACAGAGAGCTGGCCCATTCAAATGCCCTCAAACAATTGAACACCACCACCCCATTTAGTAGGAAAGCAACACAATACCCGCTGTGTTTCCCCTTTGAACCCTGGGGATGTGAAAGACTCTCAGCCCTGCCTTCTCCTTTTCTCCTTGTGGTTAAGAAAGCCTTGCACCTGCAGGCAATCGCTGGCTTATAAAATACGAATAACATTAACAGCATTTTCCTTTTGCTCTCCTGATTTGCAAACCATCCTCGTTATCTCTGCAGGGAAATGCCCCCAGGTTTTAACTGGCCTTCTGTATATTTGTTTGTGAAGCTGACAAACTTGTCCCCGTAACTGCATCTGCCCTGGGAAAGGAGCAGGTTTCCTCTGCTTTGCCCACCAGCAATGCAACAGGGCTGACTGCTCCTCCTGGCCCTGCCCTGGCTGGATCTGCAGGACTCAGCTCACCCCAGGGCTCCTTCTCCTCCTGATTCCCAACAGGACTGCTCTTCCTAGAAAGTGGGTGGCAAAGCTGCGGTGCCCCCAGGGCCAGGAGTGTGTGAGATGGTGAGATACTGCCTGCATAGGCAGATGAGGCTGTGTGCATCTGACTGCTGGAAAAACAGCCCAGGTGCGAATTCAGGGATATGAGAAATGTTAGAAAAGCTGCTCGTTCATCTTCTGTCTCTTGTAGAGCAGTGATCTCAGGGAAAAGGAAGCACTGAAGAGCCTCTATGGAAAGTTCAGTTGGAGGTGCAGCTGCTGCTGAAAAAAAGCAGCGACAGACGAAATCTGTGGGGAGACAGACAGGAAGAGGCACCTCCTGTGAATGCTTCTGCAAGTGCCAGGGACACAGCCCTCCCCGCTGCACCAGCTGGAGCCTCGGTGCCTCACAGACAGACAGAGAAAATGAAGAATACAGGCAAATGTGATGCAGGGTCCTGCAGAAACCACAGAGGGAAGCTACAATCCTCTGCACGAATAGCAAGGAGCCCCAACACTGAAATGTGGGCCAGCAGGAGGAAAGATGTAGTCACAGTGCGTGATCTGCTGGCATGAGAGCAGCTGGGCTGAGGGCACCGCACCGGTCACAGCACTGGACCTTAAAGTAAAATGCCAGGGGATCAGGACAGGCAAGCTCCTGCTGTCCTGTATGGCATTTTGGTTTGCTGGAGACACTGTGCCAAAAGGTGTGAAATAATGTAATATGACTTTTTCTTTTTTTTTTTTTTTTTTCCTCCTGCAGTCCTTTCAGTTGTATTTCCTGACTTAAAAAGTACTTCTCACTCTCCTGCCAGTTCAGTTGCTTAGGAATTCGGTTGCCTTTGGAACAAGTAAGAGCAGCACCCCTGGCCAAGCACCAGCCAGCCCAGCCCTCCCCAATTCCTGCAAAGAATGCAGGACAGCTCCCAAAGCCCTGAGCCTTCCCTGTCCCCCTGATGCAGGCAGGGCTCCCCCAGCTGCTCCTGGCAGGACAGAATGTTGAACAAAGACATTTCCATCTTTGCATGGTGGAGGGATTGGTGATGGTTAAAGGTGTCCCAAGGAAGATGGTGCCAAAGTCCAGAGCAGGGCATCCCAGCAGGCCTTATGGGAGAAGGACAACAGATGTGGCCAGTACAGGTATTAAGAGCCACTGCATCAGGACCAACTCCACAGCACAGGGCCACTGCAGCACAGGGGCATCAGCCACACTGGGGAACAGGAACCTTCCCCATCCCAGCGAGGGAAGAACCTCTGCTGTGTGAGGCAGCCCCACACCCCCACTGCTGGCAGCACTGCTGCTGGGTGTGTGCCAACCTGGGACCCACACAGGGGAAGTGGCTTCTGTGAGGGACCCTTCAAACAAGGATGTTCTTGTTTGAGAGAAGGGAAAAAAGATAAAACAGAGTGATCTGCAGGAAACCAGACCAGGTGACACAGAATTTGCTTCCGGATACCTTGGCCAGGAAGTTGTGGGAATTGCTTTGCCTTCTTCCCTGACACCTGCAGGTCCTGCTCACCTCTGGCATGGCCACACCAGCAATAGGACCACTGGTGTGAGGTGGGGTGGGATGCCACTGTGCCCAGTGTGGCATCTGCTGTCCCACTGTGCTCAGCATGAAGCTTTTGCACTTCTGCATCCCTACTGCCTGCATCCTTGCTGCATCCCTGCTGCTTCCCTATTGCATCCCTGCTGCTTCCCTGCCTGCATCCCTACTACATTCACGTTGCATCTCTACTGCATCCCTGCTACATTCCTACTGCATCCCTGCTGCTTCCCTACTGCATCCATCCCTGTTGCTTCCCTGCCTGCATCCCCACTGCATTCCTGCCTGCATCCCTACTGCATCCCTGTCGCATCTCTACTGCATCTCCATTGCATCCCTGCCTGCATTCCCACATCTTTCCCCGCTACATCTACCTGCTATCTCCACTGTATCCCCGCCTGCATCCCGCTCCCTCCATTCCCTCCCGCTCTCGTTCCCACCCGCACAATCCCCACTCCCGCAGCCCCAGCACAGCCCCCCCATCCCTCTGGCCGCACTTTGGGTACCCGCACCCCCTCCATCGCCCCCGGAGCCGCTCCCACCGCTCTCCGCCTCCGTGGGGCGGTGCGCGGGGTCGCCTTATTAAAGGTGAAGCGGCGCGGGGGGACGCGGGGCGATGGAGTACGCGGAGGCGGATTATTACTACGGGGAGGCGGAGGAGGAGGAGGAGGAGGGCAACGGGACGGCGTGCGCCTGGCAGGCGGACTGGGAGGCGTCCTTCTCGCTGCTGCCCGCGCTCTACGCGCTGGTCTTCGCGCTGGGGCTGGCGGGCAACGCGCTGGTTTTGCTGACGGTGTGGCGCGGCCCCCGAGCCAAGCGGCGCTCCGCCGACGCCTACATCGGCAACCTGGCGTTGGCCGACCTGGCCTTCGTGGCCACGCTGCCGCTGTGGGCCGCCTACACGGCGCTGCGCTTCCACTGGCCCTTCGGCGCGGCGCTCTGCAAGCTCAGCAGCTACCTGGTGCTGCTCAACATGTTCGCCTCCGCCTTCTGCCTGGGCGGGCTGAGCGCCGAGCGTTACCGCGCCGTGCTCCGCGCCGCCCCCCCGCCGCCCCGCGCCGCTTCCGCGCGTCTCCGCCGCCCCGCGGCTCTGGGCCCTCTGGCCGCGCTGTGGGCGGCGGCGGCGGCGGCCGCTCTGCCCGCCCTGCTGCTCCGCGAGGCGCGGAGGGACGCGCGGAACCGCACGCTGTGCGACCTGCGGTTGTGGGGGGAGGGCGGCGGCGCGGAGCGGGCGGCGGCGGCGCTCAGCCTCGGCACCACCGCGCTGGGCTTCGCCGCTCCGCTGCTGCTCATGGCCGTGTGCTACTGCTGCGTGGGGAGCGCCGTCCGCCGCCACCTGCGGCCCCGCAGAGCCGAAGCGGCGGCGAGGAGGAGGCTGCTGCGGTTGATCGCCGCGCTGGTCGGGGTGTTCGCCGGCTGCTGGCTGCCTTTCCATCTGCTGAAGAGCCTCTTCGTGCTGGCGGCGGCCGGGCTGCTGGAGCTGCCGTGCGCTCTGCTCGGCCTCATCTCCCGCCTGCATCCCTACGCCACCTGCCTCGCCTACCTCAACAGCTGCCTCAACCCGCTGCTCTACGCCTTCCTCGACGGTCGCTTCCGCGCGCAGTGCCGAGCGCTGCTGGGGCTGCGCGGAGCCCGACCGCCCCCCGCCGCCTCCTCCACGCCGAGCGCTCCGACGCAGCGCTCCGAGCTGCCCTCCTCGGGGGGCACCAAGGTGTAGCGGCGCCCCTTCCTCCCAATAAACGGCCGTGCCGCCCTCGGAGCTCGCTCCCTTCTTCGTCCCGTCGCGGTCGGAGCCCGCGCGGCGCTGCCCCGGCTGCGGTTTAGCGCTGGAGGCGTTCTGCGCTCAAGTCGCACCGGGGGTCGGAGAGTGCGTTCGGCAGGAGTTAGTCCTGCATTGGTGATAGCGTGGGGCTGGTGTGAGATTGCACTCCTGGAGTGCCGCAGTGGAGTTAACCATCCTGCTGGCACAGGACAGCCCTGTCCTGGGGCCGGGTGGTTGCTGGCAGTCCAAAGGCTTCTCCTTTGAGTCCCAGCTCTGCAAATCCAATGGGGTTCTTCCTCTGTCCCAGCCCCCACACCCAAGACTGTGGCCGCAGCGTGCTGAGCCCAGCCCTGCACGGTCACCTGGAGCCCTCCTAGCTCCTTCTTGCTTTAATGGTAGCTCTACCTGAGCAGGGCACATTTCCAGCTTGGTCCCGCTCTCCTGCAACCCATTCAGCCTCTGCAAGGGGCTGCTGTGCCCTGGGGTGTGAGATCCAACCAGACCCAGAGCCACATCCCTGCAGCCATGGGCATGAGGGGTGAGCTGCCAAACCCCAGACACAGGGAGTGGTGATGGACCTGGCCCTGCTGTGGGCACTGGGATGGAGGGCTGAGGGAGAGGGAAGGCATCCCAGCACAAAAAGCACCTGCCAGCTTCAAGGCTGTGTCCTGCATAGGCAGAGCTGACCCTGCAGGCTCTGCCCTCACCCTAGCTCTGCTCTGTGCTGAGGTGTCCCCTCCCTGCTGCCCCAGGGTGCCAAGCCCTGTGTTGGCAGAAGGAGCTGGGACAGCTTGGGGTCCTCTCTGGGTTTCTGCTCCAGTGCTTCATACCTGGGAGATATGTGCAGTGTCTGCACTCCTAAGTGCCCATGGAGGAAAGAGGAGGTGGTGGGCAAGCGCCAGGAGCCAGGCACTGCCTCCAGCTTCCAAATGTACTCTCATTGCTCAGGCTCAGACAGATGCGGAGCTTTGGGATGGGGGTGGTGGTGGCATACTGACCCTGGCTGTGCTGTTGGGCCCCCCTCTTCTTGTCCTCTGGCTCAGATATGGTGGGACAATGGCTTGCACAAGGCTGGCAGAGCTGAGGAGAGGGCGGGAGGGGAACGGAAAGGAACCGAAGGGCAACGCAGCCCTACAGCACGAGGGCATACAGAACTCCAAGGGGTCCCACAGCCAGCACCCACCTTAGGGGAGCAGCGGGCCTCAGGATGAGCAGCCATGGCACAACAGCTCCTGCAGCTGGGCCAGGCTCAGGCTGCCCCATGCTGCTGTGGGGCTGAGGATGCTGCTGCTGCCAGGAGCTCGTGGCTGTGGTAGGAAGCTGCCAGCTGCTCCTGGCACAGGGACAAGGGCCCACTGTGCCCCTCGCAGTGCCTTGGCACAGGGCTCAGTGCGGTGCTCAGTGGGTCCCTTCTCTCCTGCGGGGCAGACACCAGTGGAGCTTTTTATGTCGGCAGAGCCGCTTCCAGGCAGCTGGCAGGAAAAGGAAGGCCTCATCCTCTTGTCTACGAACAAACAGCAGGGAGCCAACAAAGCCAGGGTCGGGCTGGGGCTGCCCTGCAGGGCTGGGGATTCCTCTGCTGCCCCGAAGTGTTGCCCTGGAGACATGGCAGCTCGAGGCTGGCACCTCTGCTCATGCCCACATTCCCAGGCACCCGCAGCCCCGGCACAGACAATGCAACACTTCATGAGCCCCCACGGCAGCTGGGCTGCAGATTCCCTGAGCCCCACAGAGCAGCCTGGGGTGGCTGAGCATCCCAGACCTGCTGAGCATCCCAGACCTGCTGAGCATCTCAGACCTGCACACCACTGCTGTCCCGGCCAGCCTCAGCTGCAGCCTTGGAGCCGTGGCCACAGGCAGCCTGAGCCTGCTCCTCAGGTACCAACACAGCAGATGCTTTGCTCTGAGGGCTTGGTCACAACACTGGCCTCAGAAGGGCCTTAATACTCCCGGCCTGAAGGCGCTGGTCAAGTGTGAGTTACATCTTGGGACCCTGAGGCCACAAGAAGAGGGGATTGAAGATAGCTGCAGGCACAGGACTGCATCTCACTCACAGAGGAACCAATTGCCACAAGCTCTGGCCTAGTTCCCATTACAAGACACACCGAGTGAAGAGCAGGATGGGAATCACAGCACAGCACAACGCTGCCAAAGAGCAGCTGGGTCTGGTTTTGTGCTACCACTGGAACAGAGCTTGTGCAAAGCCTTTCCTGGCACACACGTGGGCTTTGAAGACATACAGAAAACACCGTCAGCACAGGGCTGCCTTTAGGTAGGAGCTCCTTCAGATGCTGCTTTCAGCTTTCTTCTTTCCTCTTGAGCCTAAGGCAAAGTTATCCTGGAACAATCACCACAGCAAGACCCAAAAGTTGATGTTCAAGCATTTATTTTCCTGCCTCGTTATTAAATACATGTATTTGCACCTGCATGGATGCCCTGTCCCTGCAGACACCCAAGGTGAGGGGTTGGGACTCCGAGCACCTGATCAGTGGGTGCCCCTGTTCAGTGCAGTGGAGTTGAACCAGATGGCCTTTAGTGGTCCCTTCCAACTCAAATGGTTCCATGATTCTAAGTAAAACTGAAACTGCTGCAAAGAAACAGCAGGAAGGTCTTGAGAATGGCTTTATTAGCACCTAAGAGTTCTTGGCTTCCTTTTCCTAGCAGAACTAAAAGGTGAGAGGAGGCAGTTGTGCATCAGCTGCGCTGATGAATGTAACTCCAGTGAAGAAATATAAACTTGATCAAAAATATTTGGTACGAGAACAGAGATGAAATGCCATGAAGAAAATTTAAAACTGAAAATAATTAGTTCCCAGAAAACAGAGGAATAAAATCATGTAACACCTTCCTACAGGGAGGAGTATGGGATCCAACTTAGAAACACGTGATGACTATTGGTTCTACACTGCCATGCTCCCAGTGGTATGAATTAAACCTTACAAACTGCATTATCCTCGAGCTGTACTTCAAAGAAATCTACTTCTTCAGAACTCCTGCCGCTCGCCTGGGGAGGACAAAGGTTTCTTCTCACCTCAACACAGAACTCAGGTCCTACAGAGGGAACATCTCTACCTGAGCAGCAGTGTGCAGTCCCTGTTAACACACCTCCAACACACGTGAAGAGCTTGAGAAGCTGGTGGAGGTTGCTCCTGCATTTATGGAAGGATGCTTCTTACCTTCAAGTACACGAGGATCCTCAACCTGAACAAAAGCAATCAGCCTCAGACTGTATGCTGTCACAAGGGCCTGAAATGTGGGTAAATGAACCAATCTTCCCTCTTTTCTGCTTTTTATTTTTCCTGTGGTACGCAGAACTTAGAGCTGTTCAGTAACAGATGTTTACTTTGAACTGGGTTTCCTCCCTGCAACATCTACCACACATTCAGCTTACAAAGGAATGGCAACAGCGCAGTTCATTTGGTGCTCCTGGAGGTGGGCACGTCTTGCTCACGCTGTGACTCATTGAGCAGTTGGGCTGCAGAGGTTTCTGAGCATGGACTCATTTGTACTCATCTCATGTGAGCAGAGCTGAGCAGACAGCTGGCCAATGAACTCAAACCACATGGTCTTTGCAAGAAGTGCTCTGCAAGGAGCTGCAATTCAGCCTCCAGCTTGGAGCAAGAGGGAAAGGCAACGTCCTTGTTGCTGAGCCAAGGGCCTGACAAAAATTAGCAGTCCAGGGCTCTGAGTTCCAGTACTTCAATTAAAATTACCTGGAATGGCAAGAGGATCAAAGCAACACAAACCTGAGGGAATCAGGGCAGAACATAGGGTCACTTTATTTTCAGCTGGCCAAGGGGCTCTGCTGCTGTTGCAATTATGTCTCAAAGAAACAGCAGCAATAACTGCTAGTGTGATAACTGCTAGGAAAGAACGTGAACTCCAGCTTTCTTCCTCTGACCACCGCAATTCGCTGCGAGCCACGTGAGCAGCCAAACTCTCTTTAAAGGATCCTCATCCTCTGTACTGTCAGCACCACGACAATTCCACCTGCTTACACAGACCCTACACTCAACAACTGCACGAATGCCAGCCCCTACCCCCACACTCAGCTTTGAGAATCCTCATAGTTGCATCCCCTCCACACACACTGCCTGGATCCCTACTCTGAAGCTCAGGTCTCTAACCATTTTTCCTCTACATCAAGAGAAGTTCTCAAGTCCTGGCCTCCTCTCCCCGTGTTTAAAACCTAGTTTTAACTTCCTGTCAGATTCTTATGAGACAACTTGCTAGGCATGAGATTCTGGTCTTCCAGGTTTAACATGTACCTCAGATGCAAAAAGGGGACCCACACTTTTACTTCACTAAAACCACACAGCAACCCTCCCATCATACCAGGCACAGTTCCCATTTATTTTAAAAATAAATATTTATAAACAAAAGGAAGAAAGAAATTCAGAGAATTATAATGTTAAAAACTTTCCTGCCCAAAGCACAAATGTCTTTTCAGTCACAACAAGCTGTACACCAAACAATGGCAGCACTGTCTACAAGCTCTCTTCTTTCATCTGCTGTCATAGACTTCTACTGCAGGAATCCACATCTCCATCAAAGTAACCAGCAATTCTACACTTCCTGAGGATGTGTAATGCTATTCAGTCTCCTTTTGTGATCAGGTCCTCGATATATGCATCCAGTTCATCATCTGTATTAATATCAATGTCCTGCAATGAAAAGAACAAGAAATGTCAGTGAAAAAGTGAATCTTGAAGAGCAGTGCAAGAATGGAAAGAACAAAACCGCTCCTTGTCCAGCAACACAGCATCTTCTGCAGCACCCATGCTGACTGCCAGAAGGTGTGCAGTGACAGCAGCACACAGCTGCTTCTGCTGGTCTGGACCCAAGTGGCACCACACTGAGAAAGAATCACAGTCATAGCATCACAGAATGGCCTGGGTTGCAAAGGCCCACAGTGCTCATCAGTTCCAACACTCTGCTACATGCAGGGTCACCAACCAGCAGCCCAGGCTGCCCAGAGCCACATCCAGCCTGGCCTTGAATGCCTGCAGGGATGGGGCATCCACAGCCTCCTTGGGCAACCTGTGCCAGTGCCTCACCACCCTCTGGTTGAAAAAGAAAGAGCTGAAGTACAGCTCAATTCTGGACTAAAACACCCAGTGCCTGGAGTGGCCTCGGTCTGATGAAGGTCACGGTGCTGTGGTTCACCCACCTCCTGCACCTTCTGCAGCAAAGCCACAATGTTAGTCCTCAGCTTCTGCAGTTTCTCCTCTGTTTCCTTCAGCTTTCTCTCAGTATTGCGCAGGTTTTCTTCACAGGCTTTGGCCCGGGCATCAGCACGGGTCTGATATGAATTGCACAGGTTCTGCAGACCCATCTCGTACTGTTTGAAATAGTCTTTCTATGGAACATAAGAACAACAACAAGAGAGGACACGTTAAAAGAAGCACTAAACGTAAAAGAGACCCCAGCAGGACCGAACAACACGAGGGTAACGCAGCCCTTCTGTATTCCCTGGCTGCTCACATTCCATTTTCAATTCCATTTTCAATTCCACACTCCTTGCCATGCTCACATTCACATACCTCATCTGCCTACGGTATGAAGCACAGAAATCACACAGGTTTTCCCATTCCCAAAGACCAGAAGTGCAACAGAAGCGGACCGAATTCAGATTAAGGACATTGTGGTTTGGCAGTATGTCAGAGAACAGAAAAGCCAGCGGAGCCAGTATCAGTTCTCTGCATTTTTCTATTAGCAGCACACGGATGCTGGTGCAGACTCAGCCACCAAAGGAAGAACAGACTGTTCAAGCAGAGAAGACTTCATCCCTGTTGGCTGACTCCCACCACTTCTGATATTGTTCAGAGAACCTATGCCTCTGGGTTAGGGAAGGAAACCCACAGAGCTGTTCTGTGGGGGCCTCCTTCCAGTCATTCAAACTACGGTGGAAGAAAAAGCCCTCAAAGCTTATGAAGTATTTCCTGAACACAGCACAGTGCTGCAGCTCACAGTACTGACTCGTAACAAACACGTTTCAGCTATGCTGCTGGTAAAGTCCAGGAGAGAATTTCAAGCATGTGTCCTCAGCTTTAGTACATATATCAAGGAAATCAGGATACTGACCCCCATGCAGAATCCCATTTGTTCCTTGCTCAACCAAGAGCCTTAAGGTGAATCACTGGTGGGCTGTGAATCTTGAAATTCTGCTCCATCTCTGTGAGCCTGGTCATCTGGAGAAGTACAAGGGGGTTGGCTTCCATGCTCCCTCTTATTTTTCAGATGGTCTCTTTGTAAGTTGGACTTAAAGGTTGGGGGTAAATGAACAGATGTGCCTACATTCCATTTCTACAGATCTCAGACCCGGCCTCTCTTGTTAAAAACTTAACAGCACTGGACAAGAACTTCAGGTAGCAGCAGCCAACAGCTTTCCCACGCAGATGTATGGTAATAGAAGACCTGAGGCACCATTTATGAACTCTTTTTTTCCCCCTCAGATACACCAGTCTGCTAAGGATACAAATGAGCTTCTGAGGTGCGCAATCCTGCAACCAGTGGAAGCAGGCTTGTCACAAGAATGGGGGAAAAAAACCCCAACAAACTACACAGTTTATTTTTCCAGATGTACTGAACTCACCAAGGGAAATGCCAGCAATCCTTCTGAACTCATGGAACTCAACTCCTTCTTGGAAATAGGAAAATTTGGAGGCAAGAAGTATCGCAAACAATTCCTATGCAGGAAAGAAGAAACAAAGCTGGAGTTTGAGCCTGAAAAAGGAAAGCCATCAGGCTGCAGCAGCTCACAAGGAAAACTGTGAACTCACCGAAGGATCTGAACTAGTAAGTCTACTGTTTCTTGGCCACTGCTAGGACCTGTAGTGTCTGGTTCAATTCCAACACATTCTGAGGTAGAAGGTTCAGCCACAACCAGCTCCTCTTCCTGCTGTGTGTCTGGACTCCGGTGCTCTGGAGAGGGAGGCTTCATCAATCTCACATCCTCACTACCCTTCTGTACCCTGAGAAGGGGAAAAAGAAAGGGAAAATCAGATATATTGACCTACATCAGTCACACCTGAAACACTTAACAGCTTCATCAGAACCCGTACATATCTGCCACTGAGACCTCCAGATCACACAACAGCTGCCTCCAGGGGAGCGTCACGTTCAAGTGGTGAACAGATTGTACTGAGTGTGTTGTGTTCACTCTTTGCAAAGCAGCTGAGCTGTCCTGAGTGCACACACACAACTCCCTGACATGACAGCAATGTATTTCTGTCTTCAGTATCTATGTAAGCAAACCAGTCTTCCTCTTGAAAGCACAACAAGCCTCCAAAATGCAGTAGCTGAAGATAGTTACCAGCGATCTCTTGGAGTGGTGTCTGTAGGAACATAATCAAACTTCACCTTCCAGCGGATGGCACGCTTGCCCTTTTGCACAGCTGTGACACGGCCTGTGAACCATTCCTTGTTCACACGGACCTCCACGTGCAGCCCTTTGTCTGCAAGGAAGGAGACAGCAAAGATGTGGGCAAATATTCAGACGCTGGCGGTCACATTCTGCTTTATCTTTAGAGAAGGCAGCCACTGGGAGCTAACCCAACTGTGACAGCTCTTAGAACGGTACATGAACCCAAAAACATCACTACCACAGGGCTGAACTCCTACTTAGGAACATTCGTACGCGAGGAAATGGCGTGGCACTCTCAGACACTGTTTCTGCTGTATCTGGGCAGTTCAGGCTCATATTAGACTAGGACAACTTCCTATGGGTTTCTACTGGGTCACTTTCCATTCAGGAACAAGCTGCAGAAATTAACTGGTCTGGCAGAAGATGCAACAGCATCTTTACTAGAGGTCTCTCAGCCCCTCTTCTTCAGAAAGAAGAAATTCATTTCATTAATGAACTGACACATTTAACCAGTAAAACACCTCTTTTTCACTGTATCGTAAGTTCCTTTCTCACCTTTCTGAGCTTCCTTCAGTTCTGCCATATCTTCTTCCCCTGCACTGTCTGTGAGCTACAAGCAAAGCGAGGTCAGATTAGATGCCTGCTGACAAGATGGCAAACACTTGACCAAAACCTTCTGCTGCAGAATCTTGTGCACTCTCACCTCCACCACCACCTCGCTGGGATCTTTCTTCTCCTCTTTCACTGCTACAAATTTGCCTCGTTTTATCCTCTCCTTCTTGCACTCTACTTCCTCCTCAGACAACTCCTCAGCAGTGTATACAGTCCTCTTCCTAGGGGTGCAGGCCTGAAGGAGGCAAACAGGCTCCAGCTGTACCTCAGGTATGTTATAAAACAGAATTTATTCGCCAAATATTTAAAAAAACAAACAGGAAAAAACCAAAAAGCCCCACCAACTCAGCACACGTATCTTCACTACTCAAGGTTTTACAGGGTGCCGTATGATAATAGGAGCCCTCAACCCTGCTGCTCCATTACTTCTCTGTGATGTGACACAGCAGCACGGGCTGTGCAGAACAGCAGGTAAGGAGCTGATGGTTTTCACCCCACTGAGTCTCACCTGGGGCGATCTGACAGTGGCAGATTTCTTTGGTGTTGACACCTTGGCAGTTTTTGAGTTGGGTGTCTCACGTGGGCTTTTGGGGCTCTGTGGGACAGCAGAGGAGGGTTTGGTTGGTGTAGTTGGTTTGGCAAGAGTCTTTGAAGTGCTACTGTATTTTCTGGCTGTCACAGCTGTTACAGCATCGTGGTACATCTTGGAAGTGCTGGCCTCCTCCTTGGAGAGAATGCTTGCCAATCTGGGAGTGTTAATAGCTGCCCAAGTTGAAGAGCCCCTCTTCAGCTGACTGACAGACCTGGAAGGAGGTGTAAGTGGTGGCGGTCTGCTGGGAGCATTCTTGATGACATCGGGTAAGGGAGGAGATCGTGGGCGCTGCGATCGAGTCACTGGCTGGATGTTCCAAAACAGATCAAGGTATATAGGGAGAACAGACAGAAAAGTCAGGCTCTGAGCTAAGGACAGTGCAGAAGAGCAGCCTACACTCTAATTGAGTGCTATCCCAATTACCTCCCCTGCAGGCCGTGCGGTCACTTCCAGAGGCAGCTTCTTTAAGTCAGCTTGAGATCGAACTGGTGTGGTTTTCTATTAAGGAAAGAAAACCCAGAAAGTTTACCTTTAAAAGCCACACTAACCCAGCCTAGCAAACTGTCTGCCCATCTCAAAAAAGATCAGCAATGGTAAAGAAGGCACTTTCTGCTGTCTCTCAAGAGCAGGACACCAGCAGTCAACTCCCACCTTCCTAACAGGAAATGAGACTTGAGATATTCCATTAAAACAACCCCACCCAACGAATGTGACACAGCACACGCAGCATTCGGGGCCATTATCCATTACTCTCAGCACCATCTGCTTGCACCAGGTCCCTCAAAGCCTGCTGTGCTTAGTGGGAGACCTCCAGGTTTACCTGCAGTGCTTCCAGTTTTTCCTGCTGCTGCCGGATTTTCTCTGACAGTTGTTTCTGCTTTTCCTCCTGCGATTTTGAGTCCTTCTTCAAGGTTCCCAGTGGTAATTTCTGCTTCTGCTCTGGAGCTTCACACCTAGCACCAAAGGAAAGCAAGACAACTTCAGTACAGACTGCAGACTCTACACCTCTCTCACTTGCAGCACTGTGCCCATCCTTAGCACGGCACTAAAACAGCACTAAAGCCCCTTTTTCTTTCTGCAGCAGCCACAAGCCCAGAGATACAGCTGTTTTCTCCCTTGTGGGAGATCTCATGGGAAACACACGTTGTAAGGATCAAAAGCACTGCCAATAAGCCATTTACACTGGGAATTACCAGTTCCAAGCCCCGGAGCCATCTTAAATGAAGTTTGGGGATAGGCCAATACAAAGATGGGTAACAATTTGACTGCATGAACTACTGGTACAATCATATTTCCAGCGACAGTGCAGAAAGCCCACAGAGGAACCTCAGTTCACAGAAGCATAGAATGGCTGAGGTTGGAATGGACCTTCTGGAGGCCATCAGTCCAACCCTTCTGCTCAAGCAGATGCCTAGAATAGGTTGCCCAGGACCATGTCCAGATGGCTTCTAAGTATTCACAAGGAGGGAAACTCCAGTCTCTCTATGCAGTCAGTGCCAGAGCACAGTCACTCTCGTGTTCCAAGTGTTTCCTGATATTCAAGGAGGATCCTGCTTTATTTCAGTTTGTATCCATTGCTTATCACAATGCAACACTGCTTCTCTTGCTTGCAGCACTCTTCCTGATGCAGCCCAGAACACCACAGGTCATCTTTGCACGCTGCCAGCTCATGTTCAAGTTGTGCCCACCAGGACCCCCAGGTCTTTTCTGAACAGCTGCCTTTCAGCTGGACTCTCCCACCATGTCCTGGTGCCTCAGGCTGTTCCACCTCAGGTGCAGGACTCGTGCAATTCCTGCTGAATACCATGAAGTTCCTATCAGCCCACTGCACCAGCATGTCCAGGTCCCTCTGGAGGGCAGCACAACCCTTTGGCAAAAGAGCCACTCTTCCACTTCTGCATCAGCAGCAAACTTGCTAAGAGCACACACTAATTTGCCACGTCCACCTGCGTGTCAGCACTAATTAGTATGTCCTAACTACTTGATTAGACAGCAAGCACACCCACAGGCATCCATACAGGTACAGAACTACTGTCTGTCTCTCCAGCTATTCCCCCCCGAAAAAAAAAACCTCCTGACCATAAATACGCAAATAAGGCATTATTTATATTAACTGATTCTTACCTATTTTGTTCAGGATCAGGGTTCATAGAGCACACCCAACTATCAGGGTAATTCTTCTCCACTGAACTCAGCTGGAATGGGAGAGTCCTCCATTTCAGGCATACATCTGTTAAGTAAACACTTTGCAAATCAGAAATGCACAGCTTGAGGCACACAGCCATGTTCTTTCTATAGCACTTCTCAAGCTTATTTAATGCCCAAGGACCACATCTATTTCCAAAACATATTCCATGACAGTTAAGATTAGTGGCAAAGTACAATATGTACACAATAAATACCTTCCCTTTGAGGAAGACCTCAAATCTGGTAAACAAAGCAACCATAACAATAATCTGATGAAGCCTGGCATCAACTAATACTTGAGCACTTCACTGCTACAGTGACAGCACTTACAAATGGAGTCCATCCTGAAATCACTGCTCATCTCAGGAGGCAGGCTGTCTCTTACTGGCACCAACACTCAAGAACTCAGAGATATAACCACTAGAATTAGATAATGTAATAGATTTTAGATGAGTCAGATGTACTGTGTTTGGATTTTAGGGCACTGCTGGTCTACCAGGAAACCAACATCTTAAAAATTAATAGAAGACGAGCATTTATAAATCAGGCTCTGGGAGGACTTCACAAGCCATGGCTGATGTCAACAGCGAAGATGATGAAGAATAACAGGAAAGTTCCTCTTATGTTCTAAGAAACTGGAAGTTACTGAGAAAACCATCTAGGGAGGAGAGCGTGACAAAATAATTCCAAAAGATTGGCTCCACGTTCCTTGCTACATCCTCATTCCCAGTTCCCGTGGGAAAATGGTCATGGGAGTTTGGAGTCCCTCTATGAAATGAGGAAGTGGTTATGTTGAGATCTCCCTTCTCCCAGCTGGAATAAGGGCTTAGCCAGAGCGACTCAGCAATGCACAAAAGAGAAGCTAAAGATATGACTGTAAATGGATCTCTTCTGTGCTATATCCAGAGCTGTTTAATAGGTGGTGCATCAGAACACAAGGCACTTGGCTGCCCTCCATTGCTTATGGGGAACTGTGAGATCTTATTTGCCTTGAGATGGGTGGCTTTGATCAATCCCACTTCCTATGACATTTCTAAGCCTATTTTCAACTCTACTGCTAAGTACATCTGTGCTGTTCTGTAAGGCTGCCTAAAGAAAATCATGATCAGCACACTATGCAGGACCAGAACCTTATTTTAAGACATTTAACTCTACCAGCAGATGCTGGCTAAAAGGCAGAGGGAACCACGATAGAGGAGTTTGTCTCAAACCTCCTCCCATTTATCTGTCCCCAAATTGGGGTTCCTCCCCACGGAGGAGCAGCCTCCCACCGCTCACACGCACCGCACTGGATGGTGGTAGGGATCTCCATGGCTCTGCGGCGCTTGTAGCGCAGTTCACTGGATGGAGGCTGGTTCCAGTTTGCTGACAGATAACCAAACTCATCCCAGAACTTGATGATACCCTTCTGGGCTGGAAAACAAACAAGCTTCCATTCAATACAGAGTTATAATCATAGACATCGTCAGGTTCTCTCTTGGTTGTCCTCTCCCTCGGTTCCCTTCCAGCCCAAATCTCCCCCTCATGCCCGTGGAAACTGTAAAGCTTCATTACCTATAGCTACATCCTTCCAGTACTGAGCTAAATGCTCTCCCATAGCCTTCAGCAAGTGTCGGTATTCTTTGGCATCAGCAAAGTCTTGTTTGTTATGAGTTGGCTCCAGAACCAGATAGGGCACATCCACGACACCGACTACTCCACCACACGCCCTGCAAGAGGAACACACAGTCAGGAACAGCATTAAACTGCTCGATCATTGCTCAGACACACAGCACAGGGCACAGCTGATGGCACACACACAGTCACACACGTGCGTTCTTGCAGCAATACTGTTCTTAAGTTCATCAGCCTTCTAATTCAGACTTGAACTGCTGTGGAGAGAACTCACTGTTCATTGGGAAAACATGGAAGTACTGGGAAATGTTAGAAGATATGTTATTTGTCAGAATCCAAACCAAAGGTTGAGAAAATGAAAGTCTCATGCTCACGAAGAATGATTAACGCAGAAAAAGATTACTGGAAGGCCTAAGTTATGTGTAAGAACATGCAGAAATATTGCTGAAAAATCTCCAAAAACTCACATGCCACCCTCCAGCTGTGGGCCCACCTTCTCATACATCTTTATCAGTCGACTGCAGTTATAAATGAACATGCCATCCAACTCACGCTGCTCAATATTCACACCAAAAATGAAATTCAGCTCTTTGGGTTCCTTCAGTGCCCTGGAACAGCGAAAAGAAAGGAGTTCTAAATATTTTGTCCTCATTTCTAAAGACCAGAAGTTTTGTTGAGCGTATGTTACACCTGAAGATGAGTAAAGCACAAAGACTTCACAATGCAGACATCAATTTGGGCTGAATATTACTTGTTGAGGCAATCTAATTCTTCATTTGGATCATTTCTCCTGTGGGAATGGATTTTTGGCTTGTATATCAAATCTAATATTTATAATACTCCAGTAGAGCAGAGTTTTATGAACACACTGGTAGCACAGACCCATCCTCTCCTACAGCACTTTGGTTTGTATCTTCCAGATGCAGCTCCCTGTGCTGCTATCCCTACAAAACCACAGTCTCAACAGTCAGGTTTTTGGAAATTTCTCCAAATGCCAAGTTTTACAAGGTTATTACACCAAGTTTGAAAGCTGCACAACGCAACCATCAGCCTCAGAAGAGCTGCTGGTTTTGTGTTTGTTTTCCTGGCAATGTCAGGTTGGCAATTTATGCAATTTCTGACTTCTTTACGCAGCAGAGAACTTCAACAGGAGTGGTCTTATGTCCATTTGTGAGCACATCCAGATTTCTGAGTCTGAATCAGCAGATTCCTATTCCCCCCTGTCAGGAACCGTATCTCCTGCAGCGCAGGAAGCCTCGGGAGACTTAGATATCCGTGTTACAAAATCAAACAAAACCCACATATTTTACAAAACTGCTCTTCTTTAACAGATTAAAACAGATTCCACAGCTTTCACGAAACCCGGACAGAGGGGTTTTTGTAATGAGGATTCGTAGCCTTAGTTTCAGGCTGGAGGTAGCACCAAACACAAGGCAAAGGGTGCTAACCTTCACCTAGCGCTGTCTGTACCACTGTCCTGCCTTACTCCCACCTGCAGTGCCCCAAGGAGGTGCTTGGCTGCTCTAAGTGCTTAATTCCTAGAGCAGAATGATGGAATGATTAAGGTTGGAAAAGAGCCCTATGTTCACCAAGTACCACCAACCACCACCGAAGCACAACCCTCAGTGCCACGTCTGGGTGAAGATGCTTGGAATTCTTTCTGACAATCTGCTGGCCAGTCTGCTACCACTATCAGATACTGAGAGAACCTGAGCTGTGCCTTCATGAGCATCACATAGCAGTAACCAGTAGCTCTAAGACTGGAGCCCAGCTTAACGTTTAAGCTCCTCAAAATAAATCCCTGAAGCAAACCCATTTCGTGTCTGTTTTCAGTTTTCTTGAGGTCAACTTTGCCTCACACAGACATATATATATATATATATATACACCCTTTCTTGGAAACAGAAGCTCCCACAGGGCCTCTAGAGGGACACAAGAGACCACCAATATGCCTCAAAACCTCCTGTTCTGCTTCTGAGGTTCCCTGGACAAGGACGTAAGGCCTTGAATTTCAAGTGAGAAGGTGTGCTCTCCTACAGAATAGGAAGGGCATCTCCTCGTTTTTATCAGAGAGGAAACAAAGTCAAATTATGACTCAAATAATGAAGAACAAAGTTTGTTTAAAGCCCAGCCAATCAGCTGGACTCGTGTAGTTGTCCTGTGTGCTGGATTTATGACCTGACCTTACACACAGGCTTTGGGAACCAGAAAGAAGAACATACACTGGTCTAGAACTGGCTGCACACTTATTCATCCTTGCTCAGGAGCAGAGCAGCTGAGCCTACACAGCAGTCAGGAGAGAAAGCTGTTTTCCCCGCTGTCTGATGGTTGTCACATCTGTTTTCCTCATCACCGCATATTTGAAACCTGACTATAACTCACATTTAAGCAGGAAGAGTTGCTGAAGAAAGTCTGGAATTTCTCATTTCCAAACAGACAACAAAGGCCATACAGAAGCTAGCTGCTTTATTTTAAGATCAGTGTTTGTTGTCCAGCTCTTTTAAAGGAAAAGCACTTTGCCCACTGGTCCACTGACAAAGTTATACTTAGACATACATCTTCTGCGTTCTCAAAACTAAGAATGAAAAGACAAACTTGACATGCACAACTCAGATGGAAGCCGAAGATCACAGCTCTACCACTTTTGAATTAAAATTACTTCAGATTTTAAAATGCATGAAGTTCATTTCTGGCAACAAGTGTGGGATAGTCCTGACCCAGGCAGGGATGTAAATCAACATGCAAAACAAACAGCCAGGAACAGGGACTTGGTACATACAAATCCCTAACCGTGCTCACCATCAGCCTTTGCTCTAAGGAATCTGCCTGTATGTTAATCAGCCTTTACTTTGAGAGATTCAGTTTTCTGTTAGGATTTGTGAAAACTCCTCATTTGTAAAATGCATACGAAAAATATGCAGAAAACTCATATATAAAGAGCTAATTATTCCCATGACTGTATCAGCAGCAAAGTTAACTGCAGCCTGAGCTAAGTTATAACAACATTAGGAATTGATGGCCAGGACTGTAACAGAATTCAACAAGCTCTGAGGAAACACGTCTACAGCTCCAGAAGTCACTTCACTGTTAGTTCATAACGTGTGTTTGTTTCCCTGAATCTTCAATGCAAACGGGTAAGCAAGAGAATGAAAAAAGCTGATGTTAAAGGAAGAAAAAAAAAAAAAAAAGCTATTTTCAAATGCTTTTTTCAGGAACTGAGAGGGGAACAGCAGAAGCAATCCAAAAAGCCAACTCAACCCCCAGTGCCCACGCGTATTTAAGCTCCGAGCTGAATTTTTCACTCTATCACATGCACTGAAGCAGGAGAAACATTGGAGCACGTGGAATGAACAGGCTGAGAAGGTCAGAGCTCGCAGCTGCCTCGTACTCACCGCTGCTTTGCATCCTTAATCCTCTTCTTGACGTCGGCCTCCCGGCGCAGGGTTATGGCCGAGTTCTGCACCTGACGTAACGTCACCTGCCAGCACAGTGAAATGCTGCTGTGAGATCCAGGAATGCTCCATTCCCCAGGTTTTTTCTCTCTCCCCCCTCTTCAAAAAGATCTCACAGATCTTCTAAATGTAAAGAATTCACCAGCTGTGCTGGGCAATAATTAGCACCCCCAAACACACAGGGCTGCGCCAGTTGCTGGGTTGCTTAAGCAGCTACACAGTTGCTTAGAAGGAAGCATCCAAATGTAACTGCCAATGCAACCAAAGCCATAGGGTGAAGGGCAGGACACAAGAGGGAAATAGCTGGGATACTCCAATGCTGTATTTTTTGTTAGCTGTCGTTAAGGAGTAATTTTAAGCTCGGCCACTTGCTGCACCACCTGGCAGCTCCCTCCCAGCTCAGCCCGTCCACCTCTCAAAGCAGGGCTGCAGCTTCCCGAGGTACCACCAGAAGGAAACAAAAAGAACTTTCTAACAACAGTTTAAGGAAACTGAGGATCAAACTGCAAGAGCAGTAAAGAGAGAGGATCCAAAAGAAAGAAAATCCCAACAGTTCTGCTTTTTTTCCAGTACTTTGCGTTCCCTCAGCCTCAAGAGAGCAGCAATCAAAGCCCCTTCACAGTAAAGCTCAAACATTGGCAGGGGATCATTGACAGATACTGATAGATATTGAAAGGTGTGTGCACTGGAGTACCAGCATGCTTCCTTCTCACCGGGGCTGGAAAACAGACAGGCTTAAGCACGTCCTGCAGCGACGACACCGCTGATGACTGAACAGTGCTGACAACTTATCTTCAACAGAAGTCACCAGCTGCTCCCCTCGCGTACCCAAGCGCTAACAGCAGGTGCCAAGCATTAGTTCTCCCATCCAAAGCCACGGTTCTGAACCTCTCCCTCGGTGCCCAACACACCCAGCTTGGCAGAAAAGCAGGACTCACCCTGGACTCCCGTGTAAGGTCCCCGCCGAGGCGCAGCTCGAACGCACGGGCTTTGCTCTCTGCCTCCCGAGCCTTCTCCTCCGCTGAAACACCACGAGAAAGAACAGCATTAACCAACAGCACCAGCACCAGCCACCCAGCACAGGCAGCACCGCATCCAACTGGGGTTAAAGATCTGCAGAGATGGCCTGTGCTGGGTCACCTGGACAAGGGAGAGATGACAAAGTAACACAGAAGGGTACAAAAGAAAGTGTTATACATGAGATGATCATTAACAGACAAACTAGAGTCAGAGGGCACAGACAACACTGGCACAACAGCAGGGCTGAAATCTGTGAAGGAAGGAAATCTCAAAAATTGTGCATGTTCATCATATTTTTCCTGGAAAAAAATGTTAATCTGTGCTATACACAAAACAGGACACAGAAAACCTACCATTATGTCCAATGCTCTTTGCATACGCAAATTTTACCACCTAAAAGAACTTCCTCTTCCTGCCTCTTTTACATATTACCAACAGGACTGCATGCCAGCTGGCACACACTGCCCCATACACCCACCCACTTCAGAACCATTCAACAAATTTCATTTTCAGCAGAGAAATTCCTTCCTAAAATGGAGACACAAACAGCTCTTGCAAGTTAGCATCGCATACCTTGCATCTGCATGCTCTGCCATCCAAAAGCACACTGGCTATGATCCTCTAATACCTCCCTTTCATGTCAGAAGGCTGCTGTGCTTACAGCTGCGTGGACAAAGAACTCACTGTTTGGAACACATCTCTTTTCTCCATCCCACACACTACGAGGCCCCATGGTAAATGTGGACTGGCAAGTCGTGCCCTGTTTGGGCAGGGGATGCCTCCAGCTGCAGCTGCCACCTGGACCATACATCTCATGGAGGTATTTCGGCTGCTGATGCAGGACTGATGTTACTGCAATGCTGTGTCAGCTTATGGGAGCAGAAATTGCTGAGAAATTAGTGTAGAGATTTCTAACAGGAACAGATTGATATATATATAAAAATGTATGCACGGAAACGTTTGCATGCATGACCACTAGAAAAAAGGATGAGATATGCAGGGTGAAGCAAAACATCACACAATAGGATCTTGGAGACAAGCAGCATCTCTCCAAAAAACAACGCTCTCTTTTCAACCAGAAAGACCCCACATGTTGTAGGGAGCATCTGCTGGGTGGTCACCACCACCCTCAGTGCTGGGTCAGAATTACATGAGGAAATGCACATCAGTAGTGCATCCAGGTATGAGAATGCAAGGGGGTCGTCAGCTTGCTTAGACCATGGAAGGTCACCTTTCCTTTCTTCTCTGTGCTGTGTTGGAGTTCTGTTATTCTAGCTCCCACTGAAGCACATTCCAAGGGTCAGAGTAACTTTATCAAGCAAGGAACAGCTTAATTGCACTGCGTGACAGATTGAAGTCACCCAGTGCCTTCACAGTGCCCCTACAGCTTGGTTAAATGGGAAAACAGAGAAATTTGGAGACAGCTTAAAAACACATCCACAGGAATATCCCATTTGTATCTAAGCCTGGATTGCAGCAGCTGGCAAACTAAGCACAGTCAAGTCTGAAGGGAATAACGGAGTGCTGCCTGCCTATAAGGTGATGCCTGCTTTATTAAAGCAATGGCACCTTAGGAGGATATCTGACAGGACACAATTCATTTCCAGGTCTGAGAGTGGAGGGCCTAACAGACAAAACCACTCCAAGCACACAGAAGTTAGAGTCAGCATTCCAAGGAGAGGAATGGCATGGCACACCAACAGCACTGCTGAGAAATGGAAAGCTCAGAATACAGCCCTTAATGACTTCTGGTGCTGGACTTCTACATAACTCTTCACCTTTTCCATTTGCTTGCTTTCCAAAATGAGCTCTTGAAACTCTAAAATGGCAATGCCTCAATGAAGTTTCCTGGAGCTGTAGAGGTCCATCTGGTCGCTGAGGGATGCTGCAGCTCATCACAGGAGGCAGAAAAGTTCGTTCTCAGAGAATGAGGAGTTTTTTCCTCATCTTTAATACCAGCATGTCTCTATTTCTGGACTGTGATACATACAGGATGGTGTGCATTCTTAGAGAAAACAGACTGGAAATAAGTCAAAATTAATTTTCTCTATCAACAGCAGAAAGAGAGTGCTTGGTACATGGAACAGAATATTAAAGATGAAGCTGACTTTCCCAAAAGCAGAGAAATGAGATCCGTTCCACTGCAGCTCAGGTTAATGCTACAGGAATGTTTCAGCCCTGAAGACTTAATGCAAACAAGATCTGATGTTCGCCTCGAGTTTTCAGCATGCTCAAAGCTCTTTGTTTGGCAGTCCTTCAGTGCTTTGGTTTGTGTTTCAGTGCTGATAGCCATTTCAGTGCTGGTATCTGTTCTTGGCGCTGGGACACTGAATGGCAGCATTCCTCACTGCCAATGCACTCAAGCTCACCTTTCAGAAGTCATGAAAGCCTCATGTAATGCTGCAAGAAAGAAACCTTTCCAAACCATGGTATCTGCAACCTTCTTGAGCAGAATGCAAGTTTGCTGAACGCCTGCTCTGGCTTTAGGCCTCAATCTAAAATAATTCATCTATGAGGACAGAGGCACAGGATAAACTGCTTGAACTTCACGATTTATCATACTTCATAAAGGAATAAGGACAGAGAATGAGATCCTTTTGCTGCTTTGGGCAGGGTCAAAAATCACATTGCTGTTATGAGTGCGTATGTTGAACGTGGCACTGCCTCTTCCTCACCATAATCATCACCTGATCTGCACAAATGCACTTGCATAGAGCAGCTCTTCAGACACACACCTCTGCAACATCAGGTTTTTATTTATGAAACCAGAAGACACAGGTTAACACAACTCCAAGACAGCCCCAACACTGTGGGTTTTCCCCACCAGGGGCTGCTGGGAAGGATTTGTTAAATTTCATACATTTTGCATAACTGAAAGCTATACTTGTAGCTTATGTGTTTTCCATATGTTGAGTAACAGTATTATCAAGTATGGATTCTCCTGTGGACAAGATTAATAGCAAGGGTAAACCAGATGGACAAAGGGTAGTCTTGGAGCATGAAGGACATCAATAAAACATCAGGATTCTGTTGTGCACCCGTATCACTTTATGCCTGATAGAACAAAAATCTGTTGTTGAACAACTTCAACAGGGAATCAATCCAAGAAGAACAGAACGGTGAGATAACAAATACAGAGGGCTTCTTCAGCTGCAGCAAGGGAGAGCTGTGTGCCTCGAGGCTTATTACATGCCTTCCCTAGAGGAAATGCTCTTCAGAAATAACATAAATCCCCTCCACTGCACAGAAGCAAGTCTCAGTCATCCATAGTAACTAGTTTTTGAGCAACCATGGCAATCACAGAAACTAACAGCTTCAGGTGATATCCAGTGAGACAGCCTCGTCCTTTCCTCTGCTACAGCAAAATCAGGATCCATGCTTACCCCCAGGACTCACCTATCCTTGCCATGTGCTCTGCTTTCTTCACCTCTTGCTCTGCACGAGTCTTGAAGCGATTTGAAGTATATTTGTACATCCTGTGATGATCAGAACATCAGCAATCTCAGCAGTAAGGTCAAAGCAAGATTTTTCACTTTGTTTAGAAAATAAAGTCTCCATAGGCTACTCTACTATTTTCCCCCAACGGATACACAATAAACAGAGGTTTATGAATCAGTAACTGAGCATTTTGGAAGTACTCAGGCCATATCTATAGTCATAGATGCTCTAGCAGTAGCTGCAGCTGCATCACTCCCTTCTACATCACACAGCGAGGTGCAACAAATTCCATATTCTTGAAAGGAATCCAAGATTAAGGAGAAAAACTTCTTCAGAAGGGAAAAAAGTGCTGAACACGTATGTAAAACTTCTCAAAAACAAAAACAAAACACAAAACTTCCACTCCAGATAAATAATCCTTCCTTTCTCCTGCAAATAGCACCGTGCAGTTTCACAGCACGCACCTCCAGGCAGAGTTAGCTCAAAGCCTGTAAAGCAGCATAGGAAATGTCTGAACACAGCTTCAAGTTGCAGCTTCTAAATACAGGACATTTCTGATTTACAACCTTGTAAAGCTTTATTGAGTTGCAATGGCTTGTTTTACCTTCCACACACAGTGCAACATGTCAAACAACCACGTTAGGAGAGGCAGAGTCAGACACTGGGTTGTGCAATCTCCTCAAACCTACTTGAGGATGATCTAAGCTACCTGGAGCCAAGAACCAGAACACATTCTGAAAAACACAACTGCTGTCAACACGTTGGCATAATTAAATTACATCACCCACATCCTGCCTTACGTTCCTGGGTGAGAGGGAACAGGGTGAAGCTGAATGATCTCAACAAATGACTCCTGAGGAAGAAGGTTATGGTCAACAGCTCCATGTCCAGGTGAAGGCTGGTGACAAGGGGTGTCCCCCGGTCTGTCCTGCAACCAGTGCTCTTCAGCATCTTGATCAGCGACACAGGCAGTGGTGTTGAGAGTACCTCAGTAGTTTGCTATAGAACCCAAACTAAGCAGTGTGGCTGACACGATGGAAGGAAGGGATGCCACCCACAGGGATCTGGACAAGCTTGAGAAGTGGGCCCACATGAATGCAATGGGGTTTAAACAAGACCAAGTGCAGAGTGTCGCAGCTGGGTCGGGGCAATCCCAGCTAAGTGTAGAGAAAAAATCCTTGAGAGCAACCTTTCATAGAAGGATTTGGGGGTTCTGGTGGGCAAGAAGCTGGATGTAAGCCAGCAGAGTGCCCCTGCAGCCCCATCTCTGGAACTGTTCTCAGTCAGGCTAGATGGGGTTTTGGACAGCCTGGTCTAGTGGAAAACATGCATGCCCACAGCAGGGAGATTAGAAGGAGATGATCTTTAAGGTTGCTTCCAATCGAAGCCATTCTATGATTCTAAGAGAAGTACTTGGGCAAGATCACAGACAGACTGCTTCACCAAGCAAGGTACACCTCCTCCTTTTCAACCCAGAGAGGCAGACTAAGCTGCCACCCCAGCTCCACTCCCACCTTCCCAGCGCTGCTCCCTGCACCAGCTTCAGTTACTTGCAGGAATGTTCAATAGCCCAAAAGCAAAACAAGGAACACAGATTTGGTTCCAGATAAACTGTCCCAGAGACTGAACAATTCCTGAAAGAAGAAACCACCCAACCATTACGTTTTGCTTTATTTTGCAATGCCAAATGGCTTTGGCTACAGCCAGGAAAGCTCACATTCAAGTGGTGGGAACAGATCCGCATTGAGAAGTCTGACAGACAAGAAATCCACATTTCCCTGCCTTCAAAATCATCCTACAGTGTCCCCATGAAGGAAACTCTCTTGCACGTGGTGCAATAACAGCACACAGCACACAGCCAAGGCAAACAAAGCAGCACGCAGTGCTACTGCAGCCACCAGCACCTGATGCCTGCTGAGATCATTGCTTGCTCAAATAGCAGGCATATAAGCTAATGTGCAGAACTGCCTGCTTACTTCTAGCTGCATGCACTGTGCTGCCAAACAAGTTGAAACAGTGACTGTGGGAGGCAACAGATGAAGTAACTGTTCAAGAGATGAAAGCAGCTTCCAGGGAGGGTGGTGCTGCGGGCATCACACCTATAAATGCTGCTGAAAGATCTGCACAGAAGCAACTTGCTCCTGACTCCTGGACATTCCAGAAAGGTTGTATGAGGTTTCACTGAACTCTAGCAAAGGGTAGAATGTATCCATATATCCAGAGCTGTTTTGTAAGGGAAAAACTGCTTCCTCAGTCTTGGATCTCTTTCTCCCACCTGAATGGGAGGAACACATTGGTAGCTGATTATACAACCCACAGCATTCAGGAAGGACAAGTGACAACAGAACAACAGATGTCCTGCTCAGAACACAAGCTGTTATTTTTGAAGGAGAGCAAATCAAAGGCTGCAAAACCCAGGTTTGTGCAGTAAAGGCATTTAAACACTCTGAGGACCATTACAGATTTCCACTCTTTGCTCCCTAACATAAAAAAAATTAACCTGCAGACAAGTCACTGTTAAATGATCTTCCTTCAGAGATGAAGACAGAGTTACTGCCCTACCAATGGGAGAGAATTCACTGCCTTCAGCAGGCCACCCTCCTTAGCAGATCTTGAGACCAGAATGGCCCAATGCAGAACATGAAGCGATCATTTCAAGCAGAAAGACACCTGGCCAAAAGCTCACCAAGGATGTAGAAAGACTACAGTCAGGATCATCTCTTAGCTCACCATCAAGTAATGGCCTGCTCTTAGCATGGCAAGCTAGTTTATAACACGTTTTCTTAAAAATCCAGCCACAGAAATGGACAGGTGTGTCTCTATACTGATGGATGAATGCCATTCCATTACAGTACTTCAGCAGTCTTTAATTAGGAGGATATGAATAAAATTAACACTCGGGCACCATGACTCTCCCACAGAGATTAGCAAATAGCCCTTACACAGAACACTCAGCACAGCATCCTTTGGGCTGCCAGCCAGGAGGACCATCACTGCCCCTACATGCTTGTAGCTGGCTACAAAAGCGCAGCAGTAATCCGGCCTAGACTGCAGCAGCTCTGCCACAGACAGCCACGCTCAAGTGCTGCAGCATCAACTGTCCTCCAAGGAATGGTGTAACATCAGTAGGCTTCCCCTCTATGCTCCTGTACAAATCAGTCATTCTGCAAGTCCAGGAGAGTAGCATTAAGCTGCAGACACCTCAGGAGCCAGATAGGGATGCATGAGCTCCAGCTTCAACTCTGAAGGGAAAATCCATGACACCAGCACCCTGCATTTTCAGTAAGTTCATGGAAACATGCAAACAAATCACCAACAGCTGTAAAAGGAGAAACTTCGTTCTCAAAAAGGACTGACTGACTGGCCTTCCTCTAGCAGGTCCCTCAAGAAAGAGCTGTTCAAGAGAGAATAAGTTCTGTTCAGGGACCAGAAGGGAAGTGAATGAATTTTCACAACCTGTTATGGCACACTGTGGGCGCCTACCAGAAGGGCTCTCAAAATCTACGACGAAATTTCAGCAGCCATGCAGCCATCCATGGCTGGCATTAGGAGTACAAGACCAGAAGGATGCAATCTAGACACTCCAAAGTAAGACTCTCCCCTTTTGCCTTCCTTCCATAGTCCTCTTCTGGACTGTGGCACAGGATGAAGCAGCACATGGCAATCACACACAGGTAAAATACAGAAATTCAGAGTGTAAGATCCTATCAACCAAGCAAACCAGGATTTACAGCAGCAAGTTATTCTGACTGCCTTTGACAGTGAAAAGGCTGAGAAGGGGAGAGCAGTAGATGCAAACTCGCTTGACTTTTCTCAGGTTTCTGACACCACTCTCCAAATTCTAATTAAAGAAGCTGAGTAAGTATGAGCTTGACAGGCAGACTGATGTAAGCTGAAAATTGGCCAGGTTCAAAGGGCACTAATCAGCAGCTTGACAACTAACTGCAACAGCAAAAGCACCCAGGAAGTTGGTGGTGGGCCCACACTGTCAGAACTCCACTGCAGTACAACATGGTGGTGTGTTATTAAGGCACAGGGCTACCTTAGAATGCAGCCTGTGTGCTATCGTGGACAGAGGAATACTCTTGTCTCAGACAGACCTAAAAACACATTCCCTTTATTCCCCTTAGAACCTTCTTTATTCTCTTTGAAGACAACTGCCAGCACACCTCATCTCGCTTTCAAATGTGCCATCTTTAAGGGAATTAAAAAGGAGGATGAGGAACAGTCTTTCCCAATCTCTACTCAAACCTAGATTAACCACTGATAAACGTTAATTTCCAACATAACTATTTCAGAGTGTTCAGCGTGGTTTCCTTTCTGTAATAATTCTAGGATGTACCCTAGGTATTTTCCTGTCCTATTAAAAAACGGAAGACCAGGTGAACTGGAGGCCAGTCAGCTCACCTCTGTGCCTGGCAACACATTGGAGCACGTGCTCTTGACAACTATGCTAAAGCCCATGGAAAATAAAGAGGTGATTGGTGACAGCCAACACAGCTTTACGAAGGGTAAACCGTGCCTGCCAGATCTGCTGGCCTTCTGATGGGGTTACAGCCTTGGTAAATATAGGCAGAGCAACTAACATCATCTGTCTGCTCCCATACAAAGCACCTGACATTGTCCTGTGTGACATCCCTGTCTCCTATCATCTGTTCCTGTGGCTTCAATGCGGAGTTATGCAGGACACATCCAGACAGCAAAATGCTAAACCTGTTTTTGTAAGGAAGGTCCTGCACGTGTCAGCAGACTTTGGCTCTGGCGCTTACCTTGGCTTGTACAAGCAGCAGGAAAGCCTCTTGGTTTGCACCTTGTGTCCGTTTATAAAGATCCTCATCCTGGGATCAATGTACAGCACAGCAGCATAGGCACGGAAGGAGCGGCGCTCAGGCTTTCTGCAAGAGAGACGTGCTCAGAACCTGAGCAGTTTCTGCATTTGCCTGCAGGACACACTCTCCCTGTTATGACCACATACTCCAAAGTTGACTCATTCCATGAATCCCCTGAGGAACCAACGACTCCTTCACACTGCTCATCTTTTGTCTTTCCTCTCTCCTGCACAGTTTTCCCCTCTCAATTCTTCTCTAGCTAAAAACAACCCAGACACACTGCTGTCATACAGCCTCCACTTCTGTACAAACAAAATGAACAAGTTTCTCCATTGAAAAAACTTTGAAGATTCTTGTTTCCCAAGGAATTGCTACCTAGGTTCCAAATGACCAACAGAATCACCTCCTCACACTGATTTTCACTACCTTGTAACTTATTTCAGGCACCTACAGCATCATTAATACCTTGCTGTGTTGCCATACCAGGCATCTACTCCAAAACACTGCAAACACGCAACCTTCAACAAGTGAGTGAGATAAAAACAAAAGCTTTTTCTATTTTATCATTCCATGGTATTTTTTTTCAACCTTTGTGTTCTGTAGATTTTTGCACCAAGTTGTGTATTTTACATGTTGCTGCCAAACATTTACATACATATTACTGCAGCTTGAAAGGAATGTTCTGAATAAAGCTGGATAATAAAGGCCATAGCTACGACCTGAACCACTTAACACCAAGTGTTCTACTTGTCAGTACACCTGACCTTCAGTTCACCAGCAGTGTGCTCCAGCAGAACCTGCCCTGATCCAACACAGAAATAACAGCACATGGGAGAAGCAGCTCCTTCCTCTATCAGTGCTAATCATGGAAGCTCACCACTGTGCACTAAGGAAACTGAGAATCCTAGTAGGTCCCTAGAGGTCCCCAAGAGCTTTGCTGCACCTGCATACTAAGCATCAAACTAATATATTCTAACACCACCGTGGTTTAGGGTCAGTTTTTCCTTTTCAGGCTACAAAGCTTCCAGAAAGCTCATCCTCCCTGACACGTGGAATCAACACCACCACCCTCCACTGCTCCTCTAAGCTGCCCTCTGTGCACATTCACTTTCTTCACCTAAGGAAGGTCCAGTGGCTGCCTGCATCCACCAGCATCATCTGCTCTCTGAAGCTGAACTGCACAATAACTCACATTTTCTTGGTATTCATTTAACCACAAGCTAAACATTTGTTTGAGATCAGACTCACGACCAGCATCACTGACAAAAACCTGACACCTACAGAAAATCACACTCATAGCTGAGGGCATCCTCCCTTGGTGACATTAAAGGTTATTGAGTTGGCTGCTTTGACTGAGACGAGTCAATGCAGAACTTCAGACCAACACAAAGGTGTAGTGCCTGTGAGCTATTTGTACATGTGAACCCCACACTGCTAAGAAACTCCTCAGCACAGAAAAAGCTGCTTTTAGAAAACCACACGCACACAGCATACAGTCAAACCCCAAACAATTGGATCAAAACCCAAGGGCTTGTAATGTCAGTCACACTCACGTTCCCTCTGGGGGAATTTCTGCCATCTGAATGTCTCGAGGGTCAGAAGTCACATCCAGCTCTGGCTCCCCGTTGTCCATCAGTTTGAGGTTAAAGATGATCACCAGGGTGCCTGAGCAAGTAACAAGTTGATCAGACAAATCCAACCCAAACCCCAAACTACCTTGCCCATGGCCAGCACCGTACATACCTTTCTCACCACGGATCTTATTAAACTGCTCCATCACTTGCTGTTCTGATTTGAACGGGGAATACTTGTAAATCAGCTCTGTCTCAATAGCAAACTTCTCCATGTTGTCACTCACAGGCTCTCGGTTCCACACGTTCCATGTGGGCAGTGGAACAATGACCTGCAAACAGCACAGCATCAGGAGCAACCCAGACTCACCACCCCCTCTATGCCATTCATACGGATCAATGCTGAGTGAACTCAGCCCTTTCTACAGGCCAACAGTTAGTGCAGGAGCTCTTCTTAACTTTGCAATGCTTTGCGTAACAGCCAACTGCTCAAGGATCTCCCTTCTCCAGCCTCCCAAGTTCTGCAACATCAAGTCTTGGAGCAAACAGCCCCAAAGCAACCTGTGAAGTTCTGGCTGCTCAACATCAACACAACCCATGGCTTCTTTCATCTGGCAATGATTTATACCTAACACTAAAAAACCACAAACTTTCATTCTTTAAGAAAAACAAACATCAACCTCTGTGCTTAACACCTCTCTCGAGCTGAAGCATTCTTGGTTTATTCCAATTTCCCTTTTTTAATTATTTTTGTATGATTCTAGAAAGGTTGTCAGTTTTCTGTTGTTTAGAACAGAAGCACAGGTAAAATTATGGACTGCAGATGTATACCAAGTACAGAGAGTCACACAATAATAGAATGGCCTGGGTTGAAAAGGACCAAAATGCTCATCCAGTTTCAACCCCCCTCCTATGTGCAGGGTTACCAACCAGCAGACCTGGCTGCCCAAAGCCACATCCAGCCTGGCCCTGAATGCCTGCAGGATGAGGATGTCCCTTCCTTGATTCAGAATTAAGCTCATGCCAAAACTCCTGGCTCCGGGGGCACTATGGAGCTGCACACACCACTGCTGGCTGCCCACTGCTCCATCAATGGCTTCTTTGTGCAGCTCCCTCAGATGCCACAATGAAAAATCCTTCTTGACATGTAGTGCAAAATAAAAACTTTTCATTACTGACCATGCACAGTATATACACATAGCACAGAAATACTTCCATGTTAGGAATTCGGATAAAGAACATCTGAACTAAAGGTACACAAATTTTCAGCAGGTAGAACCACAACCTTCAGCACTCATCATGTTACTTCATTACATACAAACCTCATCAATGCCTTCTTCCTCATGAAACGTCCGGGACAAGAGGAGGCAAGTCATGGTGTTACTTTTCTTTGTGAACAGGATAAAGTCTTTCCCAATCCGCATGGAACCCCTGGAGAAAGATTTCAGGCAGCACGTTACAATTGATGCCCACCACTTCTTAGCAAACCAGCAGAATCTATGCAAACGCTTTAGAAAGCAGACCAAGTTATCAGTTTGTTTCCATTCTGCTCAATTGTGAGACTCCAAAAGCAGATAACAAAAAAAAAAATGGCTTAAAAATAGCAACGGCCCTCTCTTTCTACATGTATCATTCCTTCCAAAAAAGCATCTAGACCTGGACATCTTACAAAAAGAACTCCAGCTCTCTAAACTCCTTCCTCTCATACTACTCACAGTTTAAAGCTGAAGTCTAATGGAGCTTTCCAAACATCATATACGCAGTGTAAGTCCATCTAACTTGCACCAGCCAAATCTCCTACTAAGAGGCTGCAGCATTATTTTTGCTTCAATTTCACTATTGATCTGACAAAGACACCAAGGTTTGTTTTTTTTCTTCCTGCTTTTTCAGCTCTGCTCTTTCACCTTTTCCAGCTCTGACCCAACCCCCCTATCACAACATGACAACACTGCCATCAGCTCAGAGCAGAGCTCCCTGCTGCAGCACATGTCCAAAGTGCTCCTGCATACCAAAACATGGTATCTTTATTTAGATTTCATCTGCACGCATTTTTTCTGATAAAAGAAACACCTCAAAGCAAAAAAAAAAAAAAAAAAACAACAACAAAACACTGACTATCTCAGCTCTAATCTCCACAATCTCAGGAGACTGGCTGTGATTAATACCCACGATTTCAGGCCGTTCCCATACTGCCCGATTTGAGTCGACTCTGGCGATCGCTTGGCTGATTTACCAAACTGAATAACGCTGGCAGCTTCATCTGCAACGAGAGACAGAGCAAATCCAAGGTTGGTTTCAATACAGAGACTTGGATACACGTTCTAGATGTGAATATGTTTGTTTCAGTAGAACAGTTTGTCATACGGAAGAGGCCTCAAGCACGAGCCAAGGTCTCACCTTGAAGATCTGCTACCCGAATCAATGGCACTGCCTGTATTACTGCACAGATGCAATTACACTGATAAAATGAGTTCTGAGTTTCGTATCAGAGCAGTGCCCCCATCTGAACTGCACCCAGATGTTTTTTGTTAACTAAAAAACGTCAGCAAGATCATCTGCTGTGTCAACCACATCATCACCGCGCTCGTAAACCAAAACCCAACGCTGGGACATGCAGCTACTGCTGACACCACAGACCCAGTGCCCCTCAGACCACCATAAGTCACCATACAAAAAACTTTTCAGTTCTGAATAAATGAATTACTTCCTCCTTACTTTGAGCAATTAACACACTGCTATGCCAAAAGCTGATTTTTGCAACTACTGCATAAAGTCAGAGTATTTTAATGACATAGGACAAAAGTAATGGATATGAGAGCTTCGCAGCTGAGAGGGGCTGTCATTTTTAGTTCAAGCCTTTCCATTGTTCAGGGTACAAAGCCTTTTAATATCATCTGTAGGACAGAAGAATTGTCCTCCCTTTCCGCAAAGATAGCAATCAGTTCACCATAGAATTCACTAGGAGAAATGAAATGCAATTCCAGATACAAGGGAACATGAAGTGCCTTAACAGGAACAATAGTTTAAACAGGAAAACTAACAGCAATTACATCCACAATGCAGATACAAGCCACAAGGGAGCCTGGGACATCTCTTACTATATCCCACCACGACAAAGAGCTGGAGCCAATGGTCAGGCTGGGTTTGAAGATGCCCAGGTTCACTAGCACTGGCAGTGAGGCTCGTTGGTTTAATGAGAAATGACCAATCTGTATGTTAGAATGCCATTACCTGTGCAAATGGCATTGAGATTTAAAGCAACAAACGACAAGGTAAAAATATGAGAGAACAACTCTGCAACAACCTTCCTACCTCTATTCACTATGTTCACAAAGGTCTACGGGATGTTTCAAAAGCACACTCTGAAAGGATCACAGAACCTCTTTCCTTTTTCCAGCCTACGATGGTACTTTCACGCCAATGAAAGCAAACGTTAGAGGGTTACCTCATGTTTGGAGCTCTAGATTTTATTTTTTATTGTGTTAGTTTCAAAACCAAGTCAGACTGATGATATGTGAGATATTCTAAGAGCACATTATGAGCCCCTCTTTGCTACGCAAAAAAAAAAACCTTTTATCAACAAGTGCTTTTAAGAAATATTTTAGAAGCCTAAAAAAGGAAGAGTAATTATCTGAGGCATTTCCTTGCTTAGAAAAGGTGAACATATGGTTTACCATTCAGCACTGGAGAATCAAAAGCACAATTTCTTTTGGGCAGAGGAACATCAATGATGCCCTGAAGAGAGAAGTCCTGAAGGGCAAAGACATTCCTCCCAAAGGTCAGGAGCAGAGAGAGACATTCAATCCTTATCCTCCACCAAACAAGGTACAAATGAAAACTCTTCCACACTTCTTGAGTTAAGGCCCTAGAGGGATTTTCACTTACAACTATTTCAGTCATACTGTTTTCGTCTCGTCGTGTCTCAGAGCTGCTAGATGTAAAAAACAAACTCCCTGGCAACAAAAAGAGCCCTGACGTGAGCTATGCCAAACAGAAAAGACAAGAAACAATTTGAAAGAACAGCCTGAGCATGGCAGATTGAGCTTTAAAACTCCAGAAAAAGAATAATGACACCAATTAAAAAAAACAATTCCTAATAAGAAACATCAAACATCTGAGGCATAAAAACAGGAGATGGAGTTGTTTAAATCCTCACTGCTGTTCGCCCAGAACTGGGACAGAAAATCCTCCTGAGTGACATGCCAGCAGATCAGGGGTCAGAAATTCTATGTCCCGCAGGCAGCAAGGCCATAGCACAGGTTGCCCAGAGGAGCTGTGGATGCTCCATCCCTTGGAGGCATTCAAGGTTAGCTGGACGGGGCTCCGGGCACACTGGTTTGGTGGGAGGTGTCCCTGCACACTGTACAGATTGGAACAGGATGGGTTTCAGGGTTTAGTAGGCAATGTTGGCGGTAGGTGGACAGTTAGACCTGATGATCTTAGAGTTCTTTTCCAACCTTGAAGATGTAATGATTCTGTTCTACGCTGGCTGCAGTACATGTGCAAGTACTGAGAATAACAGAGCCCAACTGCAAACATGTTAAACTGGGGAACAACTCTACTGAGAGTTCTAAGTTTCCTACGGAATCATTCAGTATAAACAAGCATGTGAAGCTCATCCAACAGCTGTCCCTCTGGAGGAAGGAGAGGCTCTGCTTGCCAAATCAGCCCCAGAAATCAGTGATGTCCTCCCAGCTTGTCTGTCATCTTCCTCAAAATTCCTCCTCTCTTAGGTAGACATCTCAATAGGTCACCTCCAAAGTAATCCACCCTGTGACTACAGTCACCAAGCTTCACAACATTTAGATGATCCGGGGAGATCACAGTCAGCCTTGTGCTCCAGGGGCTACTGGGCCGCTATGTGTAGGTTAAGATGATTGACTCATAGTATTTAGCACATGCTCAACTGGTCCTCAGCTACTTAACTGGGTGTCTGCTATCAGTTCTTTCAGCCCCTCATTTTGAGACAGACACGTGGTTGTTATCTTTCCTAGCAAGACAGTGTTATCAATCCCGAGCAAGGCCTCAGGCACCTCCTTGTCTGCCTGATCAAAGCCTGGAGCGTAGTGGCCAGGTGAAGGAGGAGTCTGGGGGCACCACCACAAATCCCAGTTAAACACTGTTCCTCACCACAGTAGGCCTTAAATACATAACAATTAAAGAAATGAAGATCTAAGTAAGCAATCAAGAGTTTAGTACTTCACAGCATCCAGTAAAATGAAAGCACTATTCAGCTTCCAATCTTCAAAATACAGTTTAAGGAACAAGAAGTGGTATGAAAAGCAAGTTAAGTGGTTGAAGCAAAGAAGTCTTTACAAATACAATTAGAGATAACTTCTGAGATTAATTGTAAGTAAAAGCATTGGCAAGCAGAGCTCCTCAAAGCAGGATCTTCAAGATGCAAATAAGGCGCATGAATTGGCAGTGCTGTTTGCTGATGCTAAAGCAAAGCAAGAAGGCTTTACTCCTGCTAAACCCAGCACTGATTTACATTAGTGCTCATGATGAGGCAGGCTTTGCTACATTCTTCTCATACTCCTAGGACTTTCTGTTGACCTCTATCACAATGATGAAACAATAGGACAATGCTTTCAAAGTTAAGGTTGCACACGTTTGTTATTAGAGATGAGAAACGAATCGCTTGGCAGCCCCTGATGGAAGTAGGCCTCTGCCCATCACCTTTTCCTGGCTGTACTATTGTCCTTCTATCCCCAAAGTCAACTTTTGTGCAGTGGAAATCCAAAAGCAAAGCTGACTCATTTCTATCATGCGGCACAACAGTTTTCTTATTTTTCTACAAACTGAGGAGGTGAAGAGCTTGACACAGTGAGAAAGGGGCACTGCAGAGGCAGAAACACATATCCAAGCATGGAACTACCCCTCAGATAATTCCAAGCTGTTAATTCAGCTTAAGCCATAACATGAAATCTCAGCTTGAAAACACAAATGTGAATTGCTATCACTTACTTGAATCCATTCCTGTTCCATCATCCAGAAAACACAGCATGAATCCACCTCGCAGGTTTTCTTGGTGCTCTACAAAAGAGTTATTTAATACTCCCACGCACAAATTTCAAAGTTTCATAAAATGGAAAATCTGCTCAAGCTAAGCAGTGTTCATGGGAGAAGTAACACAATAAACATGACACAGCTATGCTCCAAAAAAGGGCACCACGTTTTTATTACAGAGTGACTAATTTCTCCTGCACTTTAACTTGCATGTAAATATATGCTACAACAGCGCACTGTAAAAGCACATTTCTTAAACACCCAGTACAAACAGCCCACTTTGGTGTTATCTGACCTCAGCTGAAAACTGATCTTGCACAAGCTACTCATAAAGGCACTGTTTTTTGAAGACGCAAAAGCACAGGACAAGCAGAAATGGACACAAATACATTCACTCTTACAAAGCACATTTGTAGCCAAAACCCAAGTTTTAACTCCTGACTTGACTGACAGCACGCAAGGAAGAAGCAGGAGCGACTTACCAGTATAAATGTCTATTCTTGTGGCATCCGCATCTCTATGAAGCAACAAAAACCCAGTCAGTATTCAAATGTCAACTGGAAATGAAGCTAAAGCCAGGCACTTTCAGTAACTTCAAAAGTGAACTGACTGCACACATCAAAGTGCACGAAGGCCCAGCACACAGTACGACAAGCTAAAAAAAACACGCTGTTCTGCTTTTTGTCTATTTGAACCCATGCTCAAACAGAACGTTGGAACTGCACATAATGAAACCTAGTTATGGTATCACCGACTTATACATAGAAGTCGTAGTAAGGAAACAAAAAAAGTGCACACTTCCGAGCTCCCTCCTCTTCCACACCACATACATTTTTCCTATGAAAAATTTATTAACTTCTGCATAAAACTCTGTAAATACAAGATTTGCTCCAAAAGAAATGCCTTCTATTTTATGATCTCAGCCTACAATGTCAGAGGTGGATGTTGATGGCATGGCAGTGGAGGTTGAACCTTCCCACCAATATCCTGTTACATGCTGCTGTTGCATGACAGATGGCAGCAGAGGGACAGTCTGACAATGGCATCTGACATGCAGGTGCGTTTGAAGCAAGGGTGTAGAGATGAATTCCTCCACGTGGAAGAAATGGCACCTACTGACATTCATCAGTGCTTGCTGGATGTTTATGAAGAACAAACAACAGATGTGAGGACAGTGAGCTTGTGGGTGGTGCATTTCAGTAGTGGCAACAATGTGAAGGACGAGCCATGTTCCAGACAGCCATAGATTTTTACAAGCTGATCAAGAGTGTAGTTCTACTACAGCAATAAACACCCACTTCGTAAATGCCAAAGCCACTTCGCATTGTCTTTGTATCTCCAAGTAAAACTACCTTTCACAGAAGGTTAACAATCTACAGTCTATCTTCTCTCAGAGGACGAATCAAGTTTTGAAAAGAAAAAAGCTCATCAGTCCGAACGAGCTACACTTAATGATGCTGTTGCAAAAGCAAAGAAGTGCAACAGCTGCTGACCTGAGAGTTGAAATGCATTTAACATACAGGCACAGAGTCCTAGTTTCCCACACACAGAAATATTTCATTTCCAGCTCCTTACATTGCTAACAGCAAGGTGTGACAATTCACACCTGATAGGATATAATCTCAAAATATTTTCACCATGCCATATCATATTTGGTGAAGCTGAAAGGATAAATATGCAAAGGTTGGGATGTAACTATAGGCTGCAATATGAGCTATGTGGCTTAAGATATGCTTTTTCGAAATACCAGGTCTCTCAAGAATCACAGTTGCTCTACTTGTTCTTGCCTTCTTTTCAACATCCCAATTCTGATTCATTTTCATTCTATCACTACTCTGGATACTAGGAACCAATGATTGTCCAAGTATAAAACAGTCACAATTCCACTACTATTTTATAAATTTCTTTAAACAAAAAAGATAACTTTTTCATTAAATCCCTTTCCTTTAAATGGTCTTCTAACCATTTCCCTTCTGAACTGAATTACCCCATGAAATTTATCTTGTTAGAAATAACACTTTTTTTTTTTTTTCCACAGGGCAGACGTGCCAGTATAAGAGAATCAACTCAAACATTCATACTAAGATATAATGAGCTATTTTAATTTTTGTTTCTCTTAAAGTTTGCTAGAAGTTAAGACTACCTAACATCCCCTAAACAGTGCAGCTAATTAAATTATTTACTGAATATACCTTGGGAATTAGGCAGTGTCAGATACGCACCTGGCATTATCTACAAGTTCAGCAAGGGCACCAAACAAGAACTCATGGGTAGTTCTGCAATAAAGCACAGAATCAGCAGGGTTACACTAACACTGAGGAGACCTTTAATTAAATGAAAATCTCACATGCTCTAAACAAATCAAGTCATAGTTCTACAGTACCAACACTGGCTACGGACGCAAGATTACAATGTGTTTTACTATCTGCTGGAGCAGAAAGGCTGCTCAGTAGAGGATCTGGCTCAGAAGACCTGCGGCTCTTTACAATCTGAAAAACACTGCACCACAAACATGGGCCTCACAGCCTTAATGAAGAATTATTGACTCGAAGTCCATGAATTATCCAGTAATTCATGTAAAATTCTCAATTATTCACCACACTGCCAAGTCTCTTCATGGCACCTAAATCCCATCTATCTGAAAAACATGGACAAATCAATGTTATGCATAAGGTTTGTCTTCACTATGCACATACTGATATTGTGTAACTTATTTCTGACATGAAGAAGTTTCCAGATCATTGGAGACTTCCAACAGATGCAGCCGCTCACAGACCAGAACGCCATCTTCCTCCACTGTTGCACACCATTACAAACTCAGCATTAAAGTCACGCAGCCAGACGTTACCAGCACAAAAAGCTACATTTAGTTTCCAGCCTCTTAACTGCGACATTTTGTATGCAGAACCTACTTGAAATGGAGTGGTCACGTGCCTTAAACTTGACAGATGATATATGGTGAGGACATCTCCAAAGAGCCCATAGAACCATTCCAATAGATTGTCCCAAACATTAACTGAGTAACTCTGTTGGAGAATCAACTTCTTGCCGTACCTTCACAATCCAACAGTTATTTCAAAGGCAGATGAATCATATCCACCCCAACATTTAACTTCAGCCACAAGACAGGAGAAACAATTTCTCTTACTGAGTCAGGTAATTTAACCAACCCAACAAGGTTTCTGTAATTTATTGCTACTCTGGGATGGCTGAAGAAGAGACTGAGTCTCCAAAAGATATTTTTAGCTACGTCTTTCACTTTGCACGAAACCTCTACACATACAACTTCCTGTCACTACCACTACAAAGACTGAAGTCACACTTAGTTCAGATTTGCAGTTTTAGAAGAACAGATACAAAGGCACAGACAACATGTAGCCAACCAGAAAGCCAATAATTACAAAACAATTCTTCACATTTATCTTCAGCATCGTGAACTGTAGCTCATCAACACAGCTGAGGTTAAAAACATCAAACTTCCAAGCTATCACTAGAAAGAGAATAGAGCTTTCCTTCTCTGCAAACTCCAAGGAAACCACAGACAGAACGGAAATGGCATTCTGAAGACCACCTGACTGTCCAGAAGGCCTTATCAGAAGCTCGGACCTGCTACTCTTTCCTTTAGCGGGATTTCCTGTACACACAGTTCAAGTGCTCCCATCATTTAGGAATCTATTTAGTTTTATAAATTAATATCCAACAACCCAGTTTATTTAGAAATTAACCCATGTCAGAAAACAACAAAACACAACGAAGTGGGTACTTTGGAACTAGTAACTGTGCTTCATCAGCAGCTTTCTTTCTACAATTTCAAAAATAATTTAAATTAAGGAAAAGATGCAAATAGAGATTCCAAAGACAGATACTGGAACAAGATAGCTGAAAAAGTAACTGCATTTAAGACAGGCAAGAGAAAATAGTATTTCTTGATAACCTGACACCACACCTAACTTGAACACCTATCAAAACCTGAATCTCTTGCACAGACATGGACAAAGTGATACCTTGGAACAAGCAAGTGAAATCAATTTGAGCTGTTTATCACTAATAAAAAAGTTATATATCCTATAAATATCTAGTATTAAGTACATTAATCTCAACACTAAGACTTTTAAAATGTCCTAGATGATCTTGTCAGTATCTAATTAAGTCACATGAAGCACTCAACCTAAAAAAAAACAAAAACAAAAAAAAAAAAACCTGATGATATCACCTTACAATCAAAGGTGCCTGCAGTACTTAACAGCCATCATTACCAACTGCTGACAACCCTCTCCTTGCTCCATGCAAAAAAAACCCCGCAGGATTATATTGCTTGCAACATAACTTTCACCAACAGAAGCCAAGCTGTTTCCAAAATAGTCTATCAGAGCTCACACATAACCTGAAAACACTTAAGTACTGGCTAGAACGTCATCATCAGTGGCTACATTAACCTAATTCAAAGCACCAGAAATACAACCACTATTGATTCAGAGCACTAGAAATACACGTTAATTAAGTGAAACATGAGAAGTCAGGGAGAAAGCAGTACTAAAATCCAGAGTCTCAGTGACAACTCACTGTAAGCTGACTGACCTGGAACCACTCTCCAACTTCTACCACTTACTCAAGACAGCTCCATGCCGGAGGCCAAACCTGACATGGATCAACTGAATGCAAGAACCTAATTACTAACAAAAGACAGAAGAGTAGGTTTGTTCCGAAGGAGGTCACATCTGGGAAAACACTTAAGCTGCAAGTCTTGCATCTGGGTCAGAAACACGAGCTCTTCTTTCATTACTGCTTCAGGCCAGAACAGAAAATATTCTCAAGAAGAAACAGGAGGGTGTGAGGTACGAAGAGATGCTTATTTGTTACTTGTATTCCTCATATCCACCAGTCAGTTATGCTGAACTCCTTCCACCTAAGTGAACTTCCTCCAGCGGAGCAGAATTCAAAGGGGCAATTCCAGTTAAGAAATAAAACCTAATTTCAATCACAAATTAACTCCAACTATGCAACACTGCTCAAAGACATTCTCTACTGCTCAGGTCTTAGCAAACTCCTTCTGTTACGCCGTACAAACATTCAAGATATACCAAATAAGTTGGCTGGGCTGAGGTGTATGTTGTTTTCATTTCAGTGAATGCTTCAGAAGCATCTTAAAGCAGCAGCATCTACTTTACAAGGAAAAAATCCCAGTTGTTGTGAAGGCAGGCAGGTGTCTTTGGGCAGTCACCATAAGGGCCATACGTTACTCATTTCCACGTGCTTACATACTGAAGCTTTTCCTACTGGATCCACAAGAACTTCCACATAGCTCAAATACACAAGCTTCAGAAGAGCACTTACAAAAGTACTAGAAGTAGTTGAAAAAGATATACACACTTTGCAACTGAAGTGATTCAGGTACATAGTGCAAAGTCTGCCACCAAGCATGGCAGCGCAATTGGCTCCAAGTCCTCACGTTCAGTGACCAAATAAATTGGCTCCTGAAAAGTGCTTCAAAACATACTGTTAGATGTATTACCTTTCTGAAGCAGAGACAAGAAACAACAATAAACAAAAAAAAGCCCCACATGCACTGAAGTAGTATTTCACTGAGATTGTATGGTTTTCCTCTAACAGCAAAAATAGCCTGAAAGACAAGAGCCTCCACTACCAAAAATCCTCTTCAGCTCTTCGCTCACTGATTTTGTCATTGGTGGTGGTTGTTCAGTTTTTATTATTATTACTGAGAAGAGGGAGAAGTTGCTTATTTGCTGTACGGGTTTTGGCTTTTCCACTGTTGCTCTTAGGGAAGTATCCAGTTTATGCACTGATCCCCATAGCCTCAGAAGGCTCTTTGTTCACGGTGTATGAAAAGCCCTGGCTTTGGCTTATTCACACAGATTACCCTCCAACCCCTACCGAGGCAGCTATGCAGCACATAAGTAGATCAACAGCAAAAGCAGAACAGAAACTATAGCAGCAATACGGAATAACTTGGGATACTTTGGGGCAGCAACACCACCACTGGTCTTCTGCAGCAGACTTCTGTCTTCTTACAAACATGGCCAGAATCCATGGCAAATCCAAGACACTGAGAAATCTCTACTATCTCACAGTGCTGCACAGCAGGAGTTAACTTGTGATCGAACTTGTGTTTTCTAATACATAAGAACTTCTGTTTTTCACAACTGGATGTGGGAGCTTCTCAAGTCCAGGAACACGACTCAGTATCGTCCATCAAGCACCAGGCTTCATGTGTGACTGCTGCAGGCCAAACAAAGAGCAAAGCCATTGGACATGGACCCCAAGGCATCATTAGGCTGCTCCTGTCCTTCTTTTGTGCAGAACTCATGCTTTCCTGATAGTGAGAAGAAACTGATAATGTTCTTGGCACACGTAACAGCGAGACTGTCTGAGTAGTTGCTCCTGGAGCCGTATCGTATAATACCAACACAAACGCTGTTGGATCTACTTCAAATTGAACACAGTTAGAAATCTTCAGACAACTGCAGACCACTGATGTCCCTCCTTCTAAGCTTGCCTTAACACACTGAAAACCAGGAGCAAAAAGATACTCAATTTCTTCTTCTATTGGCGGTAACATCAAATCAACTCTTCTGCAGAATGGTTGGAAACAAGATGACCAACAGATGCCAAACATTGCTTGTGATGTTCCTCCAAGGCAGCTGAGCCAGAGCTCTCCTTCAACTCTTCCATCCATGGCACAGCAATGCCTGCTTCCCACGGGCAGGGCTGAGGCGGGTGCATAGCACCATCCCTGTGGGCACTTACCATGTTCTAGATGTGCATGCTGAATGAACCCCTCATAAAGCAGGTGAAACTCTAGCTTTCTTCAGGAATTTTAGACTGATGGATTCCACGGTTTAAAATAAAAAATAATATATATATTAAAAAAAAAAAGCCAATTCGAAGAATCCCGTGCTTCTACTTGAAACAAATGGCACAAAAAATCCAGGCACGGACCAAACAAGATGGCAGGGAGGGATGGCAGCCGGGTGTGACGCGGGGCCGCTCCGGAGGGCTGCACACGCAGCGCTGCGCACGCAGATCCGCCCCGCGTTCTCCCGCTCCCATCCGCCGCAGCCCCGCACCGCCGCGCCGCTCCTCGCGGGGGCGAACGGATGCCGGAGGGCGGCCTGAGCCGCGGGGCCGGGCCGCGGCCCCACTTACCTGCCCGAAGCTCCGGCCCGGCCCCGCCCCGCAGCCCGGTACTCACGAGTTGGTGTGCAGGTACTCGAAGGTGAGCTGCGCCCGGTTCAAGCTGCTGTAATTAGCGCAGGACATGGCGGCTGCGGCGGCCGGGCCGCTCTCCGCGTGCGCCCTCGAGGCTTTTCCCCAACCCCCCCCTCGCTCCCCGCACCGGTCACCGCCCGGCCCGGAACGACGGCGCCATCGGCGACGCCGCGCCCTCCGGGGCGCCCCGCCCGGCCCCGCAGCCCCGCTTTGTCCCCGCTGCGGTCGCGCCTCGCCGCCGCCCGCGGCCGCCGCTCCCCCCACAGGGCGGTGCCGTGCCGTTGGCCGCCGGTTGGGCCGCCGCGTCACGTGACGAGGGAGCCATCGCGCGCGCCGCCGCCGCCGCCGTTTCCGCTGGGCCGCGTGACGCGCGCGCCCCGCGTGCGCGCTCCCGCGGTGCGGGCTGTGCGGCAGGGAGCTGCGCCGCGGCGGTGGGCGGCGACCAGGCTTTACCCGCCGGGACTCGGCGCCCAACCGGAGCTTTAATCCGTTGCGTTTAACGCCGCCCGGTTTTCATGCTCTTTCTGCTGCCGAAGGCTCCCTTAAGGAACGGCCGAACGTCTTCTTAAAGCGTGCTCGTAGGGTACGTAACATGGTGCCGCTCTACACCGCAGGCAGACGCGGCGGACTTGGAGGCCCGGGTTGTACTGCGGAACGTCAGTGGAAAAACGCACTGCTGTCATCTGGAATGGATGCGGACGGGATGGAATGGATGCGGACGGGATGGAATGGATGCTGACGGGGTGGAATGGATGCTGACGGGTGGAATGGATGCTGACGGGTGGAATGGATGCTGAC